GGGAATTGGCAAAGGGAGATAGTTTCACCTCGGAAACGGAAAATGCTGAAATTATGTTGGATGTTCAGGATGCAAGGGTTCTGGTTGCTTGGCCACAAGGTGATAATCTTGACTCTGCTGCTCCAACAGAAGTTCCTTCGTGGAGTGAAGATAGTTCTCCTAGGGGTAAAGTTACTGCCGTTACTGCTCAGGGTGACATTATTCATTCAAGTCCAATCCGTCGTGTTGAACGTCATTCGTCACCAGTATCACCAACACCTGCTCGCCAAACCCTTTCCTCTGCCAATTTGGCCAACCTCTTTGCTGATGATGCAGAAAAGACCTTCATCCAAGTATATGAAGACAAATTAGAGCCAGCTCCAGCAATTGAGTCTAAAGATCCCGAGCCAGTATACTCACCAACAGTCGCTGCAACATCATTCAGTGCATCATTCCCAGCTAGTCAAGAGAGTGATTTGAGTGAGCCAGACGAAGACCCTGATGAAGAAAATGATCCCATTGTTCACTCCTTCGGTCCATTTGGTGCAGATTTATCCTCGAGAATGGCAGAGTTCACAGCTGGACATACCCCAGAAGCTCGTGGTCGTGATGAGCACAAATCTAAGACATCTATTGAAAAACGATCGAGCTCTACATCCACTGATGAAGGTGCTATCACTCCTGTCATTAACCATGTAGCCAATCAACTTGCCTATTCTCGTCTTCAATCCATGCCATTGTCAACTATCCTCAGAAACCTTCCATCCAATCTCAGAGGTATTAGTCCTTCAAAGAAGGAGAACAAGGGCCTCACAAAGGACGATCTCCGAAAGATGTTGAACAGAACATCGTTCATCGGCGAAATCCACCGAGAGGGCAAGGACGCTGCGGGAAAGCCACTTGAGAGTGAATATTACTATATCCCAGACGAAGATACCGACCAGTCAAGAAAGGAGACAGTCCAAGAAGGACTAAGGAAACCTAGTCTGAGAAATTGTCGAAAGCAGCACAAGGTAATACTTACCCATTAATTGATTGATTTTTCTTATCTAACATCTCTGCAGCAATATTATTGGAAGCGTCCAAGAACTCCATAGATGTGCTTAAGTACGACGACTTGAGGTTTCGCTCAAGGAAAGAATCGAATTGTCATGAGATGTAAATGCTTCACACTTCACATCGATTCGCAAACTGTAATATAAACGACATTCATGATGATCGTGTCCCGGTATGGTTGGATTGCATAATGAAAAAAAAAACTGTTTGTATACGATGATGGATGGATGATAGATATCAGGCGATGTTCCGGTCCCCATACCCTTTTATTTGCATAGCGAGGCGTCAGTTAATCATTTCGCGTTTGTACTCTGCTGGTTGCATATCTCTCGAGACGGTCTTGTACAGTCAGCGCATCGAGAGGTAAGAGTAACTTTGAAGAGCTTCAGACGAGGTTATTATGTATTAAAAACATCAAAAAAGCATTTATGAAATCCGTTCCGTTGTTGCAAGTGAATGGCGCAAGTAGATTGAGTACTAAAATATCGATGTCTGATAAGACATAGAGAAGTATGAAGATATTGATGTAACGATATGGTTTGCGACAATGAATGAGAGGGAAAACAAACATAAATATTGAGGAAGTCGCAAGGTTGTTGTTGTTGTTGGGTGCACTGGGCAGTGAGTGGTTTAAAGTGGCGATAAGAAAATAAAAGTGTTATCGATTAGATCCCCGTAATTAAGGTTAAGCGACCCCGCATTGCGCTAGTACACGTGCCTCCAATTGAACCCGGACTTCGATTCAATCTCGAGACAATCCTGACGTGGATAGATGTGAAGCTTGTTTTCTGGAAACACATGTTTTGAGAAAGGGACATGTATGAAAGAAAACGTGTCATACCACTTATGCGTCAATGTATGAGGGAAGTCCGTTTCCCCATCAGGTCGAAGGATTTCTTTCTTGGTGATTGAACGAACATTGATTGGATTTGAAGAATAGGTTGGGGAAGAGGGGTAAGATCATCAGTAGGAAGCTTATTTGGCTGTTGAGGACTGGAGATCGTCATTACCATTTATCATCGTTCTTGCTTTGTGAGGTTGTATCGATATTGACTTGTTTACTGGCTTCCTGATTGGATGTCTCTAGGTGAATAGGAGACGGGTATGCTAACTGGTGGCATGCTAATTGATGGCATGATCGGTGGTGGGATGCTAGATGACGGTATGCTAACTGACCTCTCGTGATTTGAAATCCTCGGTCGAATGATTTCTTCGGGGTATTTATATTCGGCTGAATAACTGATGATTGATTTCTACTTTCCTATTCACCATTCAACACCTTTACAATTACAAGCACGAATAATAGAAAGCTCAAAAGCTCATCGCAGTTTCCGTGTTTTGATAGCATAGCTTCTGCAACCATTGACGTCATTCGAAAAATCAAAACATCACGAATAAAGCTATCCTGCCATTTGCACAGCTTCAATCGCCCTTTTGCAATCAATCGATAGTGAACGAAGCCATCTCCTCCTTGAACTATATACCCATTGATCAGTCTCTCAATCGAAAAACTCCAAACGAATCTACACTCTGCCCAGCTATTGACCCGTTCAATAGCTTCCACACCTTCTACCTCAAAGCCAACCTCAAACAAACCAAGATGACATCAATCGCATCTCAGCAATCCAAGTCCAATCACAGCGACGAAGCTTCCCTCCCCCACCATTCCAAACCCACCTCCGACTCTACAGCCTCTCACCTCGCCGAGATCATCGAAGTGTCCATCCCTGACGGGCGTCGCAATTCTGGCGGCGAAGCCCTGCCATCTTCAGTCGAGACCTGGAAGCCCAATCTTGACAGACGTCAGAGTTGGAATCATCAGGATCTCAAGAGATTACATGTGGAAGAGGGATTGAAGAAGGAGGATTGGGACAATGATGCTGGAGCAGAGGCCTTGGGATATAGTTACGAGGGTGGTGGGGAGAAAAAGTGAGGGGATAGCTGGGGAGGGTTAGTGATGAGGATTCGTTGAAGGAACGTTAGTGGATGTGATTGAGTTGAAATAGCATGATATTTGGAGTTGAAGCGATGGATAGCATTACGGAATTGAGATGTGGGTTTTGCAGGCTCGAGCTAAATTGACATGAAGAAGGAAGGAGAAAAGCACATCTTGGCATCGGCGATGGGTTTCAAAGGAAAGATTAACTGCAGTCTCGGTCTATGGCCTTGGGGGAGATAATGCTTTAGTGTAGCATACATTAGTGAATACTATTCATCTCTGCTTAACTCTTTACTGCCAAAACATATCGCTTTATCGAAATTAAGTTCGGCTTTGTTAGTTATTGACTGACCGTAAGCTTGATCTTTATTGGTTCAAAAGTGATGGGCGACGGAATACCTCGATTCTGATCTTATAAAAAGATCCTCCATTTGATTTAAAGATGAAGGGATCTCTGACGCAGGCATCCAGGCCCGTGTGGGCCTTTCTTCAGATCTCCAAGATTGAGGTCCACCTCGCTCCCTTATTGAAAGAATACAGAAGTCTGTGGTTTATCGAGTTTGTAGTACAGCCCATCTCCTGAGTCCCTACACTTGATTTCGAAGAGTTCTAGCGGCCTCGTTGGTTCAAAAATGTTGCTGAGCGTTTTGCGAAAGACGCTGCATGCCTCAAGGTTCTTACTAGTTCTACCAGTATGGTTATATGACCTATATATTATGTTAGCACTGTAAAAAGATTTTGGGGCCCCCTCTGATTCTAAGGGGGAGGATGGAATGCTTCCCCCTCTCTCTATCAAATAAAAGGAGGAGTGGCAGAGATAAGGAGGAATGGCAAGGAGAGAGAAAGTAAATCGAAATTTTGGGGATTTCCAATTGGATGAGGTAGGCTTTAAGACAATGTATACGGTAGTAGCACATACCATGGGGAAAAGGAGAGAGGAATCGTGAGAGAAAATGAAGAATATCTCATGAGACAAGCTCTAAAACAGTGAATATAATGAACCTTAAATAAGTTTGTTTGCTAACATGATCTCTCGGAATTCTTGAAGGTTTCCAAACAATTGAACATATCACTCACTCACATCACTTGGTAAGATCACACTTAAAATAGTTCGTATGTGGATATCATGTAATCTCACCTGCAGATAAATCAATTCCTCGAATCTAGTAAATTGTTCAGGTAAACCGTTGTCTGAATACTTGAAGTAGACTTCATAACAAGGAAGTCAGTTTCGTTGGTTGTGGCCGTAAAGCATGAAACTCGATTGCTAAGAAGATCAGGTTACTCCCACACCCTCTAGTTGCACGTGTATAAAACTGATGCAATGGAGGCTAAAGGGAGGTGGAGTGAAGACTTTCTTGTTGTATACCTAGTATTTGACTGGAGGTGAAGCTGGATATACAAGAGCAATACCATTTGAAAGACAATAAAGTACTGGGTTAGGGCTAGTTTGCATATCAATTCCGATCAAGATCCGTCGAATTATCTCCTTTTTTGTATTACACCGGATTCCGCAGTAACACTTATTTTCATTTGAAAAGTATCGATTCCTGATTTTCACTTTATTCTTTGAATATAGATTCTGTTTTTATATTTTGAATTGAAGGCTTTTAGGCTTTCCAAAAGTAGATTAAAATAGATCTTTAATTTAAAGGAAAAATACTACTTTTCTTTATTTTTATATAATTTTGTATATTAAATATGCTGAAAGCAGAATTATTTAATAGAATCTGTGACTTGATGTGCAAACAGAAATCCGGAATCCATTGTCAAAATGAGCGGATAATTCAATAGAATCTGATCGGATCTGTACGTCCAAACTAGTCCTTACAAGGGGCTTATAGTTTGCTGCAAATCTTTGTATCGCTATGCAGTGCATGGAACATCATACGTCATGTCACTCTATCTTTGCCGAATAACACTTAAAATCAGTAAAATCTCATAGGAAGGAATAGCTTAAGTCATTGTATTCATATATTCATCAGTCGCACCCTCCTGTCCTGTAAAACATTCTGATCACATCAAACTACTTCGACAAAGGGAATCCCATGCCAACCAAAATAGCCGGTTCCTTAATATTGTGATGTGCATAACTCATAATACCAATCGCGCCCGGCTCCATCATCATCTGGAATGGAAAGTCCATAGCATAGCGAAGCCATCTCTTCGTGAACGCGCGCAAGATGTGACCGTGAGCAACCTATCAAAATCGTAATTAGCCACATCAAAAGAAAAGTTCGACGAGACATCAAATCTTACTATCAAAACATCAGCAGGCTCGCCACTTTTGCCATCTACGTGAGGGCTCTGCAACTCATAAATCTGCTCGATGAGTCTATCTAGACGTGTCTGTACTTCTTCGGCCGATCTGGATCAAGCACCAAATGTTAATCTCTATGCGAAAGCCAATCACCATACCAACATGCGCACGATGGATTTTGCTCACTCTCCGCCCTCACAGCCTTGTGTCCAGATATCCCATTTTGGTAGGTCTCTCTTATCTCTGCTTTCTCTAATCTCATCTGGTTTCAAGCCTTCATAATCTCCATAATCCCACTCTGCGATGTCCTCTGTGGTGGTGATTTTGTTCTCTTGATCAAGTCGATCCTTATGTGCAGGCCCGAGCAACATCGACAATGTATCAACAGCCCGTTTGCGAGGTGAAGTGAAAACATGTGTTAGTTTGAAAGGGTCAATGAGTTTGCCAGCGCCTACAAGGACTTCGCCCGTGCCTTGAACTTGAGCAATTCCGTTTGCGGTGAGAGGAATTTCAGCCTTGCCAGTGCAGCGGCCGTTGATGGTCCATTCTGTTTCACCTTGGATGTAATGAGAATATCAGAATTTGACTATCCATTTCTCCCAAGGAAGTGCGAATGTCAACTTACCGTGTCGAGCGATGAAGACTCGTGGCGTAGTTGCGTTTGCGTCTGACATTGTTGTCGAATATCCAAGTAGATTTTATTTTGGGTAATTTGGTACGTATTGGATACAAATAAGAAGCCAAAATTCGTGGGGAAAGCGGTTTAATTAATGCATTCTGTAATCGAATGAAAATGATAGAATCAATCGTCGCTTTATTGTTTGCCGACACGGAGCAATCCCAAATGGTAGCCGTGAATCGCAAGTCCTTGTAGCATGGCTTATTTCCCCCCCTGTCTTTTGCTGCACTGTAACAATAATATTTCACCAATTTAGGCGTTGCGACTTCTGCTGGCTGCATAGATCTCTCACTTCCCCTCAGTACTTTAGCCACTGAGAGTTCGAAGAAATGAGCCAAGCCCTAGCCCTTGTGGTACTGCTAGAGCTTTTACTTCGAGAATCACGGTATGAGGCTACGAAAAACTGGTGTCACTTTTCACGTTCATATTTTGCTTGGTAGATTTGACTACTGGACGAAGAGCATGATACTTCATTTTAAAATTGATAGAGACACTTTTAACCTCTCCGTATATGTCAGAAGTTTGGTCGAGAGAAAGCCGCAAGTTTCAGAATAGTCGATTGTTCTTCTACGACATGCTCTCTCACAAGTTTGATCCTATAATCGTGGGGGCCATAGTTCTATGCACAGGCTCCTCTCCCCTCTCTCTAGCCCATTCTATCGTAACTCACGAGTCAATAATTTGCTTGGGATGGAGAAAGTTGCAATGAATGTGAGAACAGCAACTTGGCTGGGCAAATCTAAGGCTGTAAAAGTGCAATGTGAGGAAAAGGTTCACCGTACCTTCGTAGCCACCAGGGAACTTTGCGATCAAAGTTCTCATAGTTTCCTTCGCCCTGATTTGTTGTTAACAAATATTGAGCAATCAAGCAAGTAACGTCTAAACTTACATATTCCGGTACCTTAAATTCCCAGAAAACAGGGCTGAGCTTTTGAGGTCCCATCGACTACTAGGACATCAGTTGATGAGGTTTCAGTTTGAGAAAACTTCTTACAGATAGTAGAGCATATTGCGGTCGTCTTGATCTTCCTCTGGAGCAGATACTGGAAAATAATGGAAGTATGCCTTCATGTATTGCTTTCCAATTAAGTGTCGTATGGGTCTCCAAGCTGCCATTTCCACTGAGTATAATTATTATCATTGGTTACATAATTATCTCTTGAATGAATACACTATGAATAGAAGTAGGGAATATCTCATCTGCCTTACATTCGTTGTGGGCATACAGAGCAGCTGAATCGTAAATGATAGGCATGTTAGTATCATTATTCCAGGAAGTATTCCCAGCCCAGAGATCACCGTGAATAAGACAAGGCTGTATCTGGCGGCCTCCAGTCTCAAGTGGTCGCAACAAACGTGGAATGACTTTTTCGAGGATTCCTTGGCAAAGTTCTTGCATTTCCTTATCAATTCCTTGGGACTTTTCCTCAGCGTGAATGAACCACTTCATGGAGTGATAATAGGCTTCTTCCCAAGTCTCTTGCCACTCTGTGTACTGTGGTATTGTTCCTTTATAGGTGGGGACAAAAAAGCCGTATTTGCCATTTGGTGAAATGCCTTTGGAATGTAGCTCTGCAAGCGTTGAGGTAAAAGCTTGAATTTCAGGAATTTCGTCGCTCATATTAATCAGCTCACAGCAAAAGAAGTGAATGTCTAGATCAGAGGCGTAAGTGCCGCTTCCAATTGGCTCGGGCACAAATTTTGGTAGAACCTGATAAATGGCTGTCATTGAGGCAAACTCGCCAAGAACCATGCCCCTTCCATTGTCACCTTGAGAAACCTAGCATGACATAAGCTTGGAGTTGAAATATCGTGTGAACGATAAGCCACCTTGAGAAAGTAAGACCTTGAAGTGCCATCTGGCATTATAGTCGCAACTTCAGCGGTTCTGGTCCAATAGCTGGCGCCATGAGGACTGATGCTTTCAATCTCGGTGCCCGGTGGAAATTCTGAGCTTGTCAAAAGCTGCTGCCCGTAAAACATGTTGATCCAGACTTACTCGCCTTGACATTTTCATCCACGAAACTGATCCATTTCTCGTCGACATCGATGGGCTTACCCCATTCTGCTGGGGTCATGACGTGTAAAACTTCCATAGGGGTCGCCATGTTTACGTAGGAGGAACTCCTAGAAGGGGGTGTCAATAATGTATGATATGAATAGTGGAAACAGGATTTTAAGGGCCACAAACGGAAAGGACAACAACACTGTTTATTAACTTTGAGGCTCAAGATCCAAGTGTCTTCCTTATCTTGTGATGAGTAGAGAAGGGGGCTTCTTACCACACTAACCCACGGGAATCTGCATTCGCTCGAATGCCCTTTTATTGAAGTTGTGTTACATTCTACTATGGTGGCGCACTCATCAATGGAATGATACATCAATTTTATGACGAGGCATGTTTTGATTGGCGTTGATTGTTGATAATGAACTATTGATAATAGAATAGAGTGCTGACATTCGCCTCACGGGATATATGTATATGGTGGGGATGCTTATACGCCCAAATGCCAAGTGATAACCTGATGGGACGCTGCTCGGTGAATACTGTCCGCACCTCTTCTTTGAATTATTTGAGGACAATTTTTGAAATTTCCAGGCTTTCATATCCCATAGCCATCTGGCACCTCCCTCCTTGATATATAAAGGACAATGGTTTGTTCATATTACCGTTCATGACGTGAAAGCGGGTCTCTTCCTATAACCTAAGGCTAGCGCTCTTGCCCCTTATTAGTTCACCTGATTCTAAAGATTTACCGGTCGTGCACGAGCCAAAGAAAATGGATCTCAAGCAACGACTTACAAACTCAACCTCAAGTTCCAGTGGCTCTTTATTGTCTACCCGCAGCTGGCTCTCGGGAGGCGGCGAGTCTAACACAAGTGATGATGAGATAGGGCCCTTGGGATTAAATACTCTATCGATCCCATCAACCGGTTTTGCGAACGCTGATTTAATCTTCGTACATGGTCTTGGGGGAGGCTCACAAAAGACGTGGATGAAGTCAGGTGATCGATCATTGTATTGGCCAAAGGAGTGGCTACCAGGCCAAGAAGCTTTCAAAGATGTTAGGATCCATAGCTTTGGATACGATTCAAATTGGGGGAAAAAGAGTATCCTCAGCATCTACGATTTCGCAAACGCTTTGCTCAACTGTATACTGGATTGCCCCACCATCCCTCAGAATACTAAGGTATGCCCTTTTCTTGTGATAGCAGCAATTTCATATCAAGCTTCTCTCTCTTTGAAACTCGCGGCTGGATTCTTTAAATCCTTGAATCGCACTTTTCGGGTAAAAGAATTGGCCGTTGTGTATTGTGAATCGTCTGCCTTGGATCTTGTTTACATAGTTTGAATTAGGCTCCTATTGTGTTAGTCGGCCATAGTATGGGTGGTCTCGTAATAAAGCAAGCATATATCTCCGCGAAAAAAAGCACAAAATATGCAGCTCTAGCAACACGCATACAAGGTGCACTCTTCCTGGCTACACCGCACCGAGGTTCAGACCTAGCCCAAGTACTCTCAAAGCTTCTCCACCTGGTGGGTGGAAATAGACCATTTGTGGCTGATCTAACACGAGACTCGTTAGCTCTTCGATCGATAAATGATGAATTCCCAGACCTGTGCCAGGATATTCTACTGTATTCGTTCTATGAGACAGTTCCAACTAGTTTTGCGATAAAAAAGAGTCTTGTCGTTGAGAGAGACCTGGCAATAATGGGATACGCAAATGAACGAAGGGATTATTTATATGCTGATCACCGGAATGTCTGTAAGTACGATAGTCGAAACGATCCTAACTATCTGGCAGTGAGAAACGCCCTCGTCTCAACCTTGGCTATTTTACGTGATCGGTTTAACTCGTCCAAAAAGAAAGTAAACAATGAACGCCGACAATTGCTCGATACCCTTTTGAGTGTGTCAGAGGGGCCTGAGGACGACTTCATGAGCGCCGATAGTCATCGAATGGATGGCTCCGTCGAGTGGTTGATCAGGAAGGAGAACTTCCAGGAATGGATCCACTATGATAATCCGCCAATATACTCCATTACCGCAAAGCCTGCTACAGGCAAGACAGTCTTGAGCGGAAAAGTTATCACGACTCTTAGAACGCTTGGTAAGCGATGCAGCTTCCATTTTTTTCGACACGATACGAAAGAGAAATCGAATATCGTTTCCTTTCTCTTATCAATGGCATGGCAGATGGCATACTCTGATGAAGGAATCATGAACAAATGCCTCGAAATTCTCGAGAAAGACGATCATTTGAAGGCTGATTATCGTGCCCTTTGGCGGAAACTATTCTTGGACGGAATTTTCAAGGTTCAATGTGAACAAATTCACTATTGGGTCATTGATGCCCTAGATGAATGCCAGAATGAGGCAGACATTATCTTGTTGCTTATCAAAACAGCTGAGGTCTCCTCGCTACATATTCTGACAACTTCAAGGAATAAATTTGAGTCTCGTCAAAAGCTGGGAGACTCTAGAGTCCGGGTACTCTCCGAAGGAATCCTCCAGGAAGATAGCAAGTCAGATATAATGATGTATGTTGAGGCAAATGTGGATGATCTTCCTGCGGTGGGTGAGGATGGCAAACAGTCTATTGCCTATCAGATAGTCGAGAAGTCAAATGGTTGTTTTCTTTGGGTTAGTATAGTTGTTCAAGAGCTTAGGAACGTATACACATCCACAGATCAGCAAAAGATTCTGGACGAAATCCCAACGGATATGAATGAATTGTATGCCCGTATATTGAACACGATGTCAAAAGCTGCGTACGGAAAAGAGCTTGCAAAAGCTATTATAATATGGACAGTCTGCTCTATTCGTCCACTGAAAATTCCTGAGCTTCACGCAGCCCTTCAGCTAGACCTCAAAACATCAATAGATAGTCTCGAAAAGTCCATACGATCTTATTGTGGACAACTCATATACATCGACACAAATGAGCAAATACAAATGACTCATCTTACAGCACGACAGTTTCTTCTCGATATCAACACAAAATCAGAGTTCGCAGTCAATGAGAAGGATGGCCATCGCCGATTATTGTTGACCATCCTACACTTTTTCAATAACGACATGGTAAAAAGCACAAGACGTCGCAGATCCAGCGGGAACAACACGTCTAAAGAAGGCCCCACTCTCATGGTTTATGCATCAGAATCTTTGTCTGAACACATAGCTCACGTTTCCTCAATGGATCGAGAAGTTTTGCTCTGTCTAGCAAAATTCTTCAAATCCTCCAACGTTCTCCACTGGATCAAGCACATCGCACAGCATTCTGACCAACAACGATTAGTCGAAACAGGCAAGGCTCTTGGTACCTTCTTGCAGGATAATACAGATCAGACATTGACAAATGCTAAGGATATAGAGTTACTGACTTGTTGGGGAACTGATCTGGTTCGGCTCGTGATGCAGTTTGGAAAGCCCCTTGAAGCATATCCCGACTCTATATTCAATCTTATCCCCCCATTCTGCCCATCTGAAACTGCTTTAAGAAAGCAATTTGGATCCTCAATTCGAAACATCAATGTTCGAGGATTACGAGCTGAAACGTGGGATGATTGTTTGGCTACCGTGGTCGATGCCTCCGAGCAATATTCAAGTCTGGCGTGTACAAATACCCAATTTGCAGTTGGGTGTTTCAGCGGAAAGATATCTCTTTTCAAGCAAATGACCTGTCAAAGAATTACGCAACTACAACATGACGAGCCTGTAAGGCTCTTGATATTTGGCGAGGTCAAGAACATACTTGTTTCTGCAGGCTCGAAACGTATCTGCATTTGGGACCTCAAAACTAAAAGACTGCTTAGTGTTTTTCAAACCCCCCAACAATGTATGGCGATAGCTCTGGATGATCAAGATCGTTATCTCTTAGCTGCGCTTAAAAACCACCGCTTGCTCATCTGGGATCTTGAAAACGAAGGTCCGCCAGAGGCTATTGATTGGACACAGGGCTTAGAAGCTATGACAATTCGACTATACAGACGTCCCACCACTGCTGCTTTTGGCATCGATTCGAATCTTCTAGCAGTTATATACAAAGGTCAGGACATCTTGTTATGGAGTCTTGCCAATGACGAACTTGTAGCTTTATATAGTAGGGAGACTGGCATCAGCGCTGAGAGTCTAGGAAAGCCTTATGGCTCATCTGGTGTGCGATGTTTAGTATTTGGAAACGGATCTACCGCACATTTACTTGCATGCGCGTACACCGATGGCGAGCTTGTATTGTTTGATACTTCTGTTAGCGAGATAAAAAAACGGATTGTGACATTCGCACATATTCTTGCCTGTTCGGCAGATGGCTATATGTTGGCTACAGCTGACCCAGCCGGAACTATTCAGCTTTTCAATCTAGAGACATTGCAATTAATTTATCGTATCAATTCGGTCGAGCCTGGAATCCAGAGCCTCGCATTTAGCAGGGATAGTTTGCGTTTATTAGACACCCGAGGATCACGATGTCGAGTCTGGGATCTGAGTGATCTAGTAACGGAGTATCCTGCATTACAAAAAGAGAATGCAAGCTTGGCGATGGACCCCGAAATACCACAATCTCTCAATTTGGAACCTTTTGAAAAGTCAATTACGGTTACATCACTAGCTTGCGATAACGACGGTGAGGCCTTTTTCGTAGGGAAGGAGGACGGTTCTGTCCATGTTTATTCAGTCGAATCTGGCCAGTCGACCGGGGAGCTTTTTACTCATGCTCGCGGGGTTTCAATCGAAGTTCTCTATTTCGAGGATCAAAGCTTTACCCTCACAAGTATCGATTCATCGAGCAGAATCATGATACATAAATTGATACGCGAGGATCGCCTAATATTAGCTGGTGAGAATATTTTCGATTACCGAGCGGACGTAGCGGTGAGTCAATTAGTCTGCCAACCGGGACTCCAGCATATTCTCATTTGTTCCACTCAAATTGACATGCTATGGTCCATCTCACCAGGCCACAACAAATGCTTAACCACCAACCACTATGAAGATAGAGAGCCGCATCGATGGTCAAATCATCCCCATAACCCTCACCAAATTATTCTTGTTAGCAGCCATACGGCGCACATTCATGATTGGGAGATTCTGGAAAGACTTACTGATGCTGAAGGGATCGACTTGTACGACAAACTGATACCCGGGCTGTCAATTCAATCAATCACTCCCTGCTTTGACGGTACAGCACTTGCCACCACATTCATCGAGCCGAACCAAAGCAATTCAAAGTCAAAGTTAGTGATCTGGAGCACCTCTGACTTCACACCCAAGTCGAAAGTTGCAGTTCCAACCCCTTCCTACTGTGTATTAAGCAAGAATGTTGAAGTTCTGATCGGTACAACTTGTGTAGGTGCAGAACAATCAGAACGTCTGATCTTCTTACATGGCAGTCAGTGGGTATGTGCTACCGACAAGAGTTCTGTAAAAACAAATCGTTTTGCACGTCATTTCTTCCTCCCGGCCGATTGGCTAGATACAACAAAAGACTCTTCTCTAACTATGAAAGTAACCAAGAAAGGAGATGTCTTACTTGTTAAAGAGGACGAGGTTGCGGTTGTAAGGAGAGGGTTACTTACTTCTGAATTAATGCCAGAGGGTAGCATTCTTTTGGCACCAGCTGTAAATTGATACTATGGATATTAAGATTTAACAACAGTAGTCCAGATACATGATGACAATGATGGAGTGAACCCAGCTTAATTGATGGCATCAAATTAAGATAAGCTGTCTCTTCAAAGAAGAATGGAAATAATAACAGTTATTGAGATGGAGGGTACGGTACTGAAAAGCAGGAAGTAATCAGAGTTCACATATAAGATTAGATAGCGGAATAATGTAGGATACTATGCGAACCAGAGTATGCAATTTGAGATTAAAGAACGATTGAGGCTACAGGTGGATGAAACTATTCAATTATGTCTAGTCTGTATACACCCCGAGAAAGTTATTCTCAAGTAAAATGATACACTACTTACGTCTTTTCAGAGAAGTAAAATAGCCACAATAGTGTAGCCAGGTAATGTACCACCACTTGCTCATGAACAACTGGTGCTTTCCTTTCAGATCTGGACAATGAATAATGTGTAAATAAAGCATGGACCGGCATAGATGGGGATTGGAGGACTAAATAACGTTTGTAGAGCTCCTGGTTGGGGACAAAATATGTGTTTTGACGCCGGCAAACTTCGAAGCTCAAGTGTAAGTTACCTAGCAGTTACTATGGCATAAGACACTGTGAGATACTAAGATAAACCGGAAACTAATTGCATATGCAGGAAAGTTCTCAGACACGGAAGTCTCCTTTGAAATCCTTTGAAAATCAAAAATGTCAGTACACCCCACGTGCGCGAAGAGTTCACAAGCTAAAACAAAACAAGCAGAGAAACGATGTATCCTGTATTAATGACAATAGAAAATCATTGCTAGAACCACCAATTCACGCTATTAAACACCACCCTGTAAACCCAATGTCGTCCAGAGATCCCGGAAGTAAACGATCATATTCTAGAAGTCATCACTTCTTGGGTGGGATGGGATCTTTCTGACGATGCGGAGCAAGGTGACCTGTGAATTTCCGGCTCATTTTCTGTAACTCTTTACCGGATTTGTTATCTTTAGCCACGAACGAGGTATCGCTTCCCGATGACTCTGTATCTGAAGGAACGTGAATTGCATGGGTGGAAGCTTCAGAGTCTGCCTTCTTGCGTGACATATTGAATAATTGACTAATGTTACCGACTAGGTGAAAGTTTCGAGGATATATGTGATTCGGGAATAGAGTGTAGTGCTGTGATCCTTGAGCCTGAATGAGATGAGTGTAGTCAACCATGATATTGTGTTACTCATGGCATATATTTATACCAGAAAGAACGCCGTATTCAAAGATTTTCTCGCAGACAGGGTCGTGTATACGGCGGTTTGGGTTGCTCAAGAATTTTTCCGAGCAAGATTTTTTTCTAAAAAAGGTAGACCGTTTGCTAGCACTTCCCCGTAGAACAGTATCCAGCGTCCCGGTACCAATCAGTTGTAGCTTAGCATAGTGACCAACCGCACAAAGAAGAAACATAGAATGGAGTCATGTGTGACAGAAGGCGGCTAAAACCATGAAAGGCTGAGTTTCAAGCTTGAAAGGCAATGTTTTTTCTGTAGGCCAACGTTGAGGCCTTGCAACAGAGAATTCGTCAAACCAAAAACTATAATTCTGACGTTATGGATCGAACAGACAGTTTTGATAGTATGGTATACTCCATTGACAACTTACAAAGCACCGGGCGTTGTGGATGGGGACAAAGTGAAATTCTCGGAAATCTTGACTGAAAAAAACCATGTTCGCGACGTCATGTTGTGCAATTCTGTTTGAGCTTGCCTTGTTCCCAGTTCTCCCGGATTATTGCGAAAGCTGTCACAAGAAGAAAGACTTGCAACGTGTGAACGAAATCAATGCGTTGATAGAATGAGGTGACAAATTGTCTGATTGTTAGATAATGAAGGGGCTGTTGCGATTTCGTACTTTGGCCAAGGCCTTTCCCATGTTTTAATGAAGCTATGTGACAAGTCCAGTGGAAGACATGTTACGTTGGATCAATTCCAGTAATGTCCCATGATTTCAAAAAGAGCAAATTGCATAGGCGGGACAACGAACCAAGGGATGTACCGAGAAAGCTCGCTATGAAAATGCTCATAGTTGTCCAAGCAATCTGGTAAAAGTATGGACTCAAAATAGCAGATTTAAGGTTAGTAATGGATAGTGGAAGAGTGTACAATTGGAGCGACGACTCGATCGGTAACTTCCCCTGATCTCGAAAGATGGAGTACTCCGCCAGCCTTTCATCATTGTGGATTGAAGGGGGGAAACATCGGACGGAGTTTTAGCTTGTCGATCTTATTTGAGTAAATTGCCGCAATATATACATACTCTTAATAACTAACGGTGAGAGCTGAGTTCAATTAAAGTTCCAGAAAATTCTCCGCTGTCAGAAAGCCATGGTACTAATCATTGTGATGTCTCGAAGCCTTGGCATTTGAAATTCAATGAGTATCGAACAGCCACGACAGTAATATATGTCGTGTTCAACAATCAAATTGAAATGAGAATTTCGGCAACAAAATGTGGTTCTTTTCAACTTCTCGTATTGTGAGTTTGAATAATCAAAGATTTTTCTCGGTGATGATCTTGTATCAGAGAGACAACTTGACAAAACCTTGCTTACTTGGCTGAAGTTTCTGGTTCGAGATTTTTACCAAATCAGGGATATTTATATTGATGTGATAAGGTCTATCACTGTAAGAATCCTTGCTACTTCAATGGTAGGGAGTCAGCAAGGTTGTTCTTCCCCAGTCCGTGGAAACATTTGATGGAATGATTGGACTGATAAGAACCGGACATCCGAAGCAACCGCTTATTCTTTGCATATCACAATCACAGAATGAGGATTCGATCTGAGGAAACTTTTCGATGGTGGTCATGATAGTGGTGGTGTTGTTGACTCGGTGGCCAAGAAAGCTGTGAGCTTGCACACAATCTTTTGGCTTTCGAAGGCGGCTCGACTGCCTAGATTGAGATGCGGTATCACAGATTCGATATTGTTGAATGCAAGTAAGCGCGCCTTTGAAATCCAAACAAGTGAGATTTTAAAGAAAAGAGGATTGATGGCGTATCCTGCGCATCTTGTCGTCATAATCTTGATGAACTGGTTGGAACATCTTGAATGAAATATCTCGGCCTACTTTATAAATTATCAATTTGAAACGTCGTTAATCAAATCCACTATATTAAACGATAACGTTTTACCTATTTGGGACTAGTAATGGTGTGTGTATCCTTGAATTTCATTAAGAAATCTAGAACGAAAGTTTTCTCAACCTGTGCCAACCCACCACAATCCAACATAAGATGATTTTCATATATTTCTACCAGTAAACTCCCTGGTTTTCCCCCTGAGAGATCGATAACACATGTCTTTCTGTTTTTTCTAAGAGATTGGTGACATTATAGTACAAATGAAGTCAATCTTATACGATTAATTATCAATGAAACACTTCAGCGGCGGTGAGATTGGAAAACGCGGCTGGCTACAGCTACATTCTTGCCAGGGGAAAAGAAAGAAAATAACGAGCCAATTTTCTTTTTACATGTACCCCCAATTCATTGCGATTGGTTAATGGCAAGTGCTGAAATATGTCCCGAGCTTTCAGTCAAGCTTCCTGATCCACCAGATCAATATACCTTAAATTATGGAGGGGCGGCTGTTGAATCGACCCACACATTTCAAATGATCTGGAATCATCCACTATCATTTTGTTACCGTTCAAATACTCCTTCGTCTCTGGGTTTTCATTTGATTTCTTTTCTCTTTACCAGCTTTCGAAGTATCTCACCTTCAGTCTCTCTTTCTTCAAAGATCTGCTCTTACACAATCCCTTGGCTGTGCCATCTCTTACGTTCTTCTTATACATCAAGAATACATTAGTAGGCCAGATCCTCTGTACAAACCAAAAAATAAAGATTTCGACAATCATACCCCAACAAAAATGAAGTGCAACGCCGTCATCCTCGCCAGCTTCGCGCTCGGCCAATCTGTTATGGCGACAAACGTCTATCGTCCTGGTGGCCAGTAAGTACAATATGCTTTCCATATTCAATCCCTACAGTTTGCTAAGTGTCGAAATAGTTACCAAGTCCGAGCCTTCAATGAATCGGAGCCAATCTTCCCATCTGGAACTGGAGCTTCATCTGGTTTCGCTCGCCCAACCGGAAAGCCATCCCACACCAAATCCAAGAAGCCTTGCAAGACCAAGTCATCTTCTGCAGTAGCATCTTCAGTTGCAGCAACCTCCGCCGCAGTAACAAGCTCCGAAGCTTCTGTCGTCACCTCCGCACCAGCACTCAGCTCTGACCTTGCCACACCAAGCACCGCCTTGTACACAACTACCATTACAAACCACCTTTCTGAGACTGTTGTTGTCACTGTGACTCCAAAACCCGCAACCTCTATTCCAGAAGCCTCCGCCTCCGCATCTACCACTGCCGTTGTTGTACCAACAACCTTGAAGAGCGCCGATGTAGATACCTCCTCAACATTCGTTGCTCCATCCTCTTCCAAGACCTCAGTCAACTCCCTTCCACCATACCCAACAACTTTGTCAACTGGCACTTCTTCAACTATTGCTTCCACTGGCTTTGCTTCAGGAACTGGTGGTGTTGCCTACCCAACCGGCAGCACTATCGCTGCTTACTACCAATGTGGAGGAATTGGTTACACCGGATCCACCACCTGTGTTGAGGGTACTCACTGCCAGGTCCAGAACCCATACTACTCTCAATGTATCTACCAGTCTTAAGTGTGCGGATTAGAAAGGAGATTTCGTGGGGTTGATAAATGGATGCGATAGAGTTTGATTCACCTTGATGGATGAAAGTGTAGAGGTTCACTTCTTGTTCTATCTTACGATAGCCTTTTTTACAAATATAAATGACTTTTACCATGCTCATAAATTATTGCCTCGTCTCGTCTTTGGTCTTGATTGATAATAATTCGCAATGCAAAATATAACATTCTAGAATTCTTTTATATCCTATATGTCATCATAAACCACGCCCTAGATGATGTTATCAAGGTCCTCCAGTATGTTCCCAAACATGAATGTTAACTCTAAATCGTGAGACCTAATGATCATGTTCATGTTTTTAGAATCTATCGTAAAAACAGACTGGCTGGAGTAATCCTCAGTAAGGCTTTAAAGAAAGCAAAGGCTGAGTTTTCCAGTCTGTCACCAACATTTTGGATTTTTTTCCAATACTATCAAAGCATTTCAAAATATCACTAGTTACACAACCTCATCAATCTTCAGTCCTCAACGTCTTCTCATTTCTCCAAAAAAGACAGATGGTATACGTACCTGCATTTGCAATCCACGCCAAGCAAAAAGCAAAACGTGATCCAGATTATCACATCATTTTGCCCGTGCAAATTTCGGGAAAGAATATCCCAGCAATCTAGAAATTATTCCGAATTCCGAACCGTCCTATCATTTCCCGTAGCCCTACCGGCCCCCACAATACTTCGCTTAATCATGACATTTTGGACTCACCTCTCCACTTCTTAACACAACCAATTCTTGAACAATAATATATACTCACACAACGCTACCCAATCATGACGAGTCACTTCTAATTCTCATATCATAATCCGGCCGATCTTGTTTCATCAAGTCGGTTGGCGACGAGTGGGCGCGTATCAAATTGGTGGTGTGGTGTAATGGTAGCACGTGGTGTTGTGGTTTCTCCTCTAAGGGTCTTCACGAAGATGAGCTGTTACAAGCTCTACAATCCCCGCTTCAATCTGGGTTCGATTCCCAGCACCGCCAAAGACATTCTTTTTGCTCTTTCCTCCAAGTCTTTAGGATGTTGCGATGTTTTTTTGGCGGTTGTGGTGAAGATTTCGTGGATAATATTTCTTGTCACGTGATCTCAGATCGGGACTGTCTGTATTTTTGTTCCTAATCTTCGTCTCTATTTTGCTGCAGTTTGGGACAGTATGGGTTTATTTTGTTGCCCTAGGAAGATCAGAAGAACATCAGATAGTGGAAGTAACACACAAGCTGAACCAATCACTTCTTAATCTAATATTATCACTTCCTTTCCTCTCCTTCGTTCCCACGCATCATACGGAAAAGCCAAGATCAGAGTTAGTCAACTCATCACATTTAACAAGTGTTTGATTATGAGAGCCTGAAGTGTCTTTGATTCGTATTATAACTTTCTCCCAGGCGGCTTGAAACCACCCCCTTTGAAGGCTAAGCCAGGGTATCCAATAGTCTGGATTGCAGTCAGTCCAACAATAAAGATTATCAAATCTCCAAACCGATTAGAACATTCAAATCATTTGAGATATTGAACTTGATTAAAACATCAGATTATCTTCAAATTTCTTACTGCTTTCAGGAATTCAAAACATTGTATTGTTGGACTGCAGTCCGGACTATTGTATACCCTGTTCGAAGCTGTGTACATTCTAATCATGTCAGTTTCACATGCAGATGGAATTGTTCATAAATCTAGCAAGGGTTCTGTCGATATCCAGTATATCGACGTGGTGCTTGAAGAGGTTCCATTCTTTGATCCAGGTTTCTCAAATAGATCTTATCCCCCAAGGCAAAACAAACATACGACCAAGGACTCAGTTGCAAGCTTTTAATAGCAGTTCACCTAGAGAATCCTTTCATTCATATATTTGCGAGGATAGCGAAGTAATTCCAAATCGCATAGAAGTTAGATATACCCGATGATCATGATAAGAAGAAGATCCGGAGTCCCCTCATCGTTTCCAAGACGAGCACACAGAAAAAATTGGGAGAGACGGAGTGAACTGAATTAGATACATGTAGCCACTGCTCACTGAGGGGTAATATTTAGCGCAGGTTATCACATAAAGGATAATTTTGATAATCAATCTAGTATAGTGAAACACATCTTATGTGGCAACAAGTTATAACTCATTCAATCATTAAATCCAAATCCCAAATCCAAGCCGCAACTACTCCCACGCAGTATACTTTCAACCACTGAGACCTGCGCTCACTCCCCTACCTTCAGTCTTCCATATATCTAATATTCACTACCCCTCCTCGACTATCTCCATCTATCAAGTGCTCGAGAATACATGGACGCATACAGTTTTCTTGAAAAAGAGGTGACAAACAGACAAGCCAATCAAGCCAAACTCATCAAGACCCACTCTCCCATGTTTAACCTCATATGTCCATCATAACCCAAACATTACTCTCTCCCACTAAGAATGTCAGCCAGCCACACAAACAAGCACACAAACACACCCCTTCCCTCTACACTCCCGAACGCCCCCTAGCACCCTTACAAGCGAACTAAATCCTAACCACAAGACTCAAAAACCCACTAGTCCAGCCAAGAACACTCCAGACACGCAACAAATCCTATACTTTCTCTTGGCAATTCTTATTTTCGTTCTTGTTTGCTTTTCATCATAAAGTTTACGAACACTCTCGAGCCACAGACGAAGTCGCCGCTTAGCAAGTTCTCCTTAGCTCTCATACACCCTTGGCGAGCGGGTTAACTGTGGGATTTCAGTATAACCAAGGACATATGAGATATGCAACAAAATATTCTATTTTCTCTTAGCGTCTGGGGATTTTTTGGGGTTCAATTATGGAATTTTGTAATCTTGAATTGTGTTCATATTGTTGGTATGCTACGCCATTAAGTACCCCTTGATCCATCTATGAAATTACCGTTCGCCATGCAAAGTAATCGACCTTGCATATACTGTCCACAAATGTATCATTATCATCATCTCGTGCCAAAACTCTCATACTCATAAGTATCATCGGAGTGTTCTAAATGGTTTGTGAATATGCCAATATAGAAAAAGCTATGGCTCCCGGTCGCAATCCAAACTATTGGACACACTATATCATCTGAAGTAATAAACCACGTCCTCTTCCTTCAAAAACTGCTTCCCTTGTCATAATTCTCATCACTATGTCCATTACTCCACCCCAATGATCCTCTCAACTTATCCTCCGCCTCCACAACTCTTCTCGGTAACCCCCTTCCAAGCCCAGTAAATACAAAAATGGCCCACTTCCATCTGAATGGATTGATCGCAATGCAAAAAGTGAACCACCATACTAATTCTAGATACGTAAAGAAATCAAAGGCACCTGTTGGGCTGAACTTCTTCAAAATTCTTGTCATATCGATCCAGCGTTCCATCCAGAAGGGTCTTGGTCTTGTAAGGGGATCCGATAGAAACATAAGAAGGATACGTGTGTAAATTCCAATGTGCCAGTTGCCTACTGCCCCGATGGCATTGACGTAAGTGCAATTGTTGCAACAGACGGAAGGATGTGAGGGAGGGAAGGTTTGAAGATACCAGTTTGGTGGTGTGTAAGGATCCTGGAATGTGTCGGGCGGGAGGAAATCAAGAGATGGTCGCTCGAATCCAGTTGCCATTACAACAATATCGCCCTTTACGAGCTTTGTTTTTCCAGGGCCACCGGGAGGAACACCTTTTGCTCGGAGATTGAAATTGATTCCATCTTCAGTGAATCCCTTGATATCTCCCCGTAGCCATTCTGCTTTTCCTTCGCGGATTTTATCCATCACGTCCGAATTGACCATAGGGGTACCTGTAAAAATGCCTTTATCGGCTGGAGCAAGATCTTCCAGATCTCTGTAAAAGAACTTCTTAAGCAGCATCTCTGGTATCCAGCTCAAGAAAGTTTCTTGTCCAAAAATATTCAACGCGAGTAGCATGTCTACGACAGCATTCCGAGGGATGATCCATTTATCACTCCTGGCCAGAATTGTCGTCTCAGCCGCTTCTTCGTGCGTTGCAAATTCTAGTGCCTCGACTGCACTTGCACCACCTCCAATGACGATGATTTTCTTTCCTTTTGCATCTTTGCCCGTTAGATCGCTTGAATGATATATCTCTCCCTTGAATTTATCCATCCCAGGAATATGTGGAATTTTTGCCTCTCCGCAAGTACCAACAGCTGCAATAATACCTTCGAATCGTCCTTCTGATGTATTGTTGATTATCCATCTTCCTTTGTCGTCTTGATATACTTTCTCGACTTTAGTATCAAACTTTGTTTTCTCCTCTAGACCATAGCGTTTCCAGAGTTCGGTAATTTGAGATACAATTTGTTGTTGATTTGGATAACCACCTTTCCATTGAACGGAGGGATGGAATCGATACATTAACGAATGGATTTGTAGACCAGATGTGCTGTTAACTCTCTATTGCATCGTGTTAGCATAAATCCCCTTCGCTTCTGGGGGTTTCTGTGCCCAATATGTAAGGGAGAAATAGTAAACTTACACTCCATATACCACCCAATTGACTTCTGGGGCCAGCCTCAAAAATCTGCACATCAAATCCATGACCAACACAGTGAGAAGCAGCAGAAACACCCGTCAATCCAGCACCAATAATTGCAATCTTGGGTCTTCCAAGTTTTTGACCGTCAACCGGTGGTGAAGGAGAAAGGAGTTTGGCGAGAAAGTATTGCCACACTCGGTAAAGAAAGAGGAAGGGATGAAATATGGGATATAGTAACTCCATCTTCTGAATTGAATGTTTTTCAAAAAAAGGAAGGAACGGAAGTTGTATTAATTGATGAAGAAAGCAAAAGGGAAGAGTATTTATTGCACTTAGAAAAGAGCCTTGCTTTTGCTTTTACTTTATTGACATGTGCAAGTGGGATACTGCATGGACGGGCCGTGCGGCATGTATGCATATGACGTACCTACTTTCTGGTGAAGAAATATGGAACACTGGACGACCAATAGGATTGATTAATTGAATTACAAGCCAGGCGAACAATTCCCCATTATTTCCAATTTTTATTTTTAACATCCTGCGTTCTAGGCCCCCTGAATATCCTCGGCAATCATAATCTCGATGGTCCCATCAACTATTTTCGAAATTTTATGTTGTTTCTACAATTATTTCTGTAGATTTTTGGAGAGAAAACATTGGTTGATTGAATGACAGTGATCTTTATTGAAAGGAGACATTTTTTATAGTAGGACAGCAGGAGTAGGATATAGAAGAAAAATCGTTACTCCTTAGCCTCGCCCCCTAGACAGCATGCATGCAGTCAAAAAATATCGAAACCTAAAATTCAAAGCAAACAGACAAACAGATGGCAAATTACACAAGGAGAAACACAGTATGTTTATTGATTTTGGCTGCATAAGTAATCATGATCCAGGACTTTTGAAGTCAATTTTCACATCCTCAACGGCAATGCTATAAGCTATCTCGGAAGCTAAATGGCCACTTCGAGGATTCTGAGCTCTCCTTGATTATCCTTGGATTCAATACTATCCTGTGAAGATTATCTAACCTGTGAACTATCATAAGCTCTTGGGATACGGCGCAAAAGAATACTTTGCAATGTGATAACAAACTCCCATAATGAGTTTCAGAGTGTACCGTTATATCCAAGTCGATCTATTATCTTTCAATATTGCTGTGCATCAAGTAAGTCTATGATGAATATCCATAAAGTTTGCGTGTGAATCAGACCTTAGATTATCACAGGCCCATCCCGCTCCGTACATTTACATGCTCTGTATAGATCGTAGCGAGTAGAATGTACGATAACCTCTGTTTCACTGGTGCACTTCATGAAGTAATTCTCTGAAACTACGCTCTTATTAATCCCAAACAGCCAACCGAATTGTTCTCTTGCTGAATGTCAATGATGTGTCATGAGAAAATAACGAGGCTTCAATAGAGAACAACAGTACCAATAGACGTAATCCTCCGAGTCTTCCCCAGCCAATAATGAGTTGAGCAATATGTTCTAAGAGTTTGTTGTACTAATACAATCTGGCTTTGTTTGAAATCTCCTAAGCTAGCGTCCTCAAAATGTCTATTTAAACTCGGATTCCCCCACGACTTCCATTTTCTTTTCCTTCTTCTTCATACCACCTCGCTTTTTACAAAGATAAGTCGCACTTTGATGGGGGCCTATATCTTCTGCGGTGAGTTTCATGCTACAGAGTGGTGAACGCCCTTTACGAAGCGCAGAATCACCTTCACAGAGTGGCTATCACCTTCCTTCGGGGAGCGCTGCATACCCTCTCCGAAGTGTTGAACCTCCTTCACAAAGTGGCACTCCCCTCCCCAGCATGCCGCTCACTGCAGAGCGTGTAGGCCTTCATTAAATTGTGGTTTAACTTTGTAAGAGACGAGGTATAGAGAGTCCGTCTTTCGATCAAGAATGTTAGATGGAACGAGCTGGTTCGCCGGCCCGGTAGTCTGCGGACTGCTTTCATAATTTTTGATTCACAACTTCCAAGAGGAAACTTCTTTTTAATCGGTCCAAGATGAATCACTTTTTTCATTCATCACGAGATTGACCACAATACTTTATCCAATTTTCGTTCATGGAAATGTGCCTTTGCATTGGTCTCCGGACTAGCGATTAGGACTATATTTGGCCTTTTTTTGTCAATGTGGCCTTTTCGCTGCACTAAGAAAGAAGTAACGGCGATGGCGATGATGATTCTGGGGCAGAGGAAAGAGCGAAATGGCAAGTATTCGGAATTACGGCAGTTTACGTTTGCGTTCATACTTTTCTTGTAATTGGCCACTTGGCCATGTACTAGTTTTCATCATGTACTAGTCTACATCATGTGTCAGGTAGTTTAGTTATCAGTTAGTTCAATCAAGATTATACACATACTCCAACCCCTGACAAAGCTGTGTTCCACCTTTACTTCTCTTACTAAAAATATTGCTGTTCCTCTTCCTCACCCCCTTCCCCACCCGAAGCGACTGTTCTCTCTATAGTCGATCCCCTCTCATCTCTAAACTAAACATCAAGCTTTCCAAAAAAATCTGCTGCCACTATCCCGACTCTCTTCGTCCATCCCGATGAACCTCATAATCACACTATTTACACTTTCCCGAGAAATCCATGCCGCCCTCTTGAAACTTCTTTTGACACAATGAACCAATATTCGGGCACTATTTGATTACAATCATCAACTCTAGTTCAAAGAGATCTATGTCAGAATCCCCGCTACCTTGCGGATAAGTACCAGCTCCTTTCATGTTGTGGTTAAAGAGCAATGAATGAAACCAAAGCAGGCCAGGGATTTCATAAACAAGAAGAGAAAAGATAGCGGGTTGGAGAAGCAAGAAGCATAAACTCTGTGAGCTAGGATGAATCCTTCAGGAGGGCTTCATAGAAGTCATGATTTTCTCTCCGTTGTACTACAAATGCACTTTCTCTCCCACTCAATACGTTTTGCTTTCCCACACGACATAAAAAACATTCCATATAAATTGAAGGGGATAGGGAACTATCCATAGGCACTTAGTACTGGCGAGTTGCATCAACTGCATCACAATGATACAAGCACATTCAATCATACAGTTACACAAAAGCTATGAAAGTTGGGAATGTCACGAGTTCCGCATGCAGTGGTAATAACAGTCAGATAGTGATAATAACAATACAATCATAACAGCAATGAAGAATGTTCAAATGTATTAAAAGTTGATAGTAAGCTCAAATTCGGCGTGCACCCTTAATTAAGAATTGATATTCCGTCTCAGAGGACTCTCAGCAACTAGGAAACCCCCACAAGTAATATTCTTACCATACGTAACGAAACATTCAGGTTATAGAAAGGAAAATCTCGATGGTTCAAATGCAAGAAAGTTTACAAGAAAGGATAGGTATAGAGCGTGTTTTGTGTTTTGGAAGATTTGGCAAGCCTCAATATCTCCTCCACACTTCCAGTAATGAACTTCGATGCGATCCAGTACTTTTCTGGAGCAGGCCTAGGCAATCTAATAAGGACTCTGACTAGGGTAGCATACTAAAAAGGATTGCTAACAGCAACAAAAGAAAAATAGTGAAGAAATTCTGTCCTACCATATTGCCAACACTTACTCTCATTATCACACGCAAAGGGAATAACTCAAATTTGTATCCGCGAAACGAAATCTGGTATTCCTCAACTCCATTTGATACCGCAATACTGTATATGGACACATAGACATAACCACCATTTGGGAATATAAACATCAAGCATGTCGAATTTCAATCAGTTCAACTCCAAGCGCCATACTAGTTGATGATTGTCGCGACGAGGGAAATCCATCCGCGCCTAAATTCACCAAGCGCAATCTTCCGTATTCCTACCAGTCATCACCACATCTGTCTTCCCATTCCTATTATTGCACTGATCCCTCTCGCTTGCGCTTGTGATTTATTGATCATTCCCTTTCCCCACATCCTTTATTCGACGTTCGTGTTCGAGGATTCTTGAATGTAGGATAGTCGATTGATTTTCCGAGATTGAATCCTGTCAGATTCAAATAGTTCTCATGTCCACTCAGCACTTCAGCTTATCCCATAAAGATCTCACTCTATTCCCAAACTCCCCCTGCCACATTGACCCACTCTCTGCCATTACGCCCTAACCAATCCATAAAATAAAGTCCAGGTCAACACAAATCCACTAAGACCCTCTACTAACCCACCCGACCAAAACTCCCACGCGCCCCTAAAATATCGATCTCCCTTGGTATCTTTACTCATATGCGGAGCTATCCGAAACACATATACGAGAGCACTAGTGAGGAGCGTAAAGAAGATGTAGAATATGAATCCAGGGTAAGATTCAAGACCGAGGATACCAGCGGCGACACCAAAGAGGGAGGCTGTGAGATTGTGGAGAGTTGCGAGAGTCTATAGAGAAGGATGATTAGCTGATATGTTTGCGTAAGAGAGAGGTTGGCGAAGCTGCAATTGTAGTAGCTTGATCAATATCGAGATCGTTTCAGGCTGGCTCGACGTAATTCACCCAAACGGTGCCTTCAACTTGAGCCTGTCAAATTGAATAACGAACCTTTGTGTTGTGTACCACAGACTCTTGCACAATCGGACTTATTTGCATTTCTCGTTCCGTAAGCATGATGACGAATTTACTTTTGTTTACTGCGGTGATAAGGTGACGAAGACTATCGGGCGATATGCGAAGCTTCAATAAAGAAATTGAAGGTTGCGTTGCGTTATGTTACTGGGGAGGTATTCGTAAATTGGAGGTGCTGCGGAGTGATTATCAGAATACGTGAGCACTGGAGCTTTCCAAGTGTTCTGGAGCTTACTTGTTGATGCCTTATTTTTGAGGCTTGAAGACCACATCGCAGGTTCTGGGGTCAACAGCCACATTTAGCCACAGTGAGGGAGGGGGCATATACGGAGTAGATATCAAGCATGATGATATTTTGATGCGAAACAATGGCGGAAAGCTGCACCAGAAGCAAAATTTCTCACCCTTTCTCTTGAAGTCTCAGTCAGATCCAGACTTATCGCCACTTCCACATTGGGTGCCAAGTACGATAATGTATGCATTAATTGTAGTAAGATCAACCCCTACCTCGCCTGTTGTCACCGACTGTTCATGACCACATCAAACAAATCCTTCGGGTATGTACAGTAATTTTCAAGCTTGATCTGTACTACATACCCGCCAACACTGTCTCCAGCTTCCAGCTATCTCCGCGTGTCTCCTTGTCTATATCGTTACGGCCTGAATGCAAATTTCCACACTTACAAGATTACAATGTCTATAGCTACTAGATATTTAAGTCCTGTATATCTATCTACGAGAAAACATATCCATACTTTTGAGATTCTCTCATTCTTACCGAAGTCCAAGGACAAATCACCAAATCTTTCTTTCTATTTAGTCCGATGTCTACTCCGTACCTACGACTGAAAGACCATCACTCATACACATATCGCAGCCGCGAGGTATCATGCCGAGGATCATAATTGTTCATTCACCGCGCTTACCCCTCATACTTAAGCGCAATCCTGCCAGCCCTATTTATGTTACCGGGAGGATTTTCCACTCCGGAAGGATTTAAACAAGGAGGGAGTTCGGGAATCATCCATCTAGTTGGGTTTATATCACGTGAATTCACACCTTCTCTGACATCAATGGCATGAATTATATCGAGCGAATAATGGAAGAAAATAGAAAGTGTGCAAGAGATTTGTTTGCTATTCTAGCTATGCTAAATTTCTAATAGTACAGGCCTGCTGTTGCAGTTTAAAGGATAGGACTAGGTAGAGAGAAGTGAAAGAAACTCTAAAGAGAATGATGAGAAAAGCAGAAACAAAAACAATGTGATGCCGATAAAAAAGAAAGACACTGCCCCCCGAAAATCTAATCGACGCCGTTCGTCAAGAGTGTTAATATGTGAGCTTCCAAATCAGAAATGGTCTGCTGCAGAATTCAAAACTGGTTGCCCAATATCCAACCACCGCCGCTATGCAGTTTTACGTTGTTCCTGGAAATGCTGATAATGACTCCGAAAACTGAATGCTGCTGTTGTGTACGCCGAAATTCTCAATATCGTAAGGAGTGTAGAAGTGTGGAAGGATGAAGAAGTTAAGAAACATATCTTCCATAATCATCAAGATATTGTTGCATATGCTCCGATAACTGATACCCCTGTGTTGTTTCTGCACGACGCAAATATCGGATTGCTTGAGTAAAAGCATGTTCATCTGCTGGAGATGCAGATACGTTGCCTAGACTCATATGTGATTCTGCAGCCTGTTTGATTGTTAGATTAGACTCTCTGGACATGCGTGAGGGCTGCGACTTACTGAAGCCAATAGGTCACCAGTAGTATATCCAAGAACATCAGCGGCTCGAATGGCCCGAGTGAAGAAATCCACAGCTGGTTGTAGATAGCCTCGAGCTTCGACATAGAGGGGACCTTGTCTGCGGGGGTCATTGGGCGGTGCTAGAGAAGATTAATTATTAGAATCATATTCTAAGAAGCAAATTTCTAAGTCAGAAGTACCTGTGGTATCATTTCCTTCTTCGTAATGAATGCGGGCTAGAGTTACTTGAGATCTCTGAAGCCAATTGTTACCCAGCCCTAATACAATAGTTGTGTTAACAAAAACGCCTGTCTAGAGGTAGTAAGATATTATGTTGACTTACCCGTCAAGACGTCAACATTATCCGGATAGTTTCTCAACACTCTAAGCCATGAGTTCTGGCAAAAGTCCGCGATATCTGCCACACTTCCATTATCTGCGTCGTAGAAAGCAAAGCTTTGAAGTCCCTGGATAATCCAGACCTGTTCAGCAAATCGTGCTGGGTCGCGAAAAAAGCGAACGTGTTCAAGAGCAGTGACAGCTGAGCGAGCAGAGGGAATATAGGTTTCACATTCATGGGGTCTAGATGCGACAACTTCGTTCAGCAAAGTGACGATACTCTTGACTTGCTCAACCATATCCTCAGGATTGCCCTCAGTGCTTCTTGATTGATGGCGGGAAGATTTCGAATTGCGAGACATGATTGAGTGGTGAAGTTAGAGTATGAGATGGACAAGTATGAAGAAGTATGGATGGATAATGATGGTGAACGTAGATGAATGTTAAAGATATCAGATATGATATTGCAAAGATCTGTTGATGTCTGATCTATTGAATAATGAAATGAGTGAGGGTATCTCCTCATCTATATAGATAATCTGAAATGAAATGCACGAAGATAGATATTTGATAATAGCATTTACTCCATCATGGCATATAAAAAGCTTAGCTTGGGCAAGATCCCAAAACGGATTAGACAGGAATCGAGGAATCCTGCGGCACTGATACCAACAAGGAGGTACCGAGATGATGAACCTAAGCTGACTACCAGCACTAGTTACATCAAGCGGTTTCCATACGCGAACTTGGGATTCTGGATCTCGGTTGAGATGCAATGAACCTTATATGATTCATATGTTACATAACCCACGATGAATACAGAACATTTCATGAAAAGTTCGGCGAACTCAAGACGCAACTACTATTAAGAGCCTATTTGCGATGCATCCTACAAGAGTTGGATGGTATTCATGACTGCTAATGATATATCATTGGTGACGCGGATGAGGACGCAAAACAAACGGTCGTATGTACTATCCCATAAAACGCCATTTCTAGGACGGAGAGGCCGTAGCTCAATTACTGATATATTAGAAGACTAATGCAAGTAACTTATATCTAAGCATTTATGTGTATATCTTTAGAAATGGTTGATGAGCTATGATGAAATTGTCATGATTTTGTCATGATGAGAATGTGCAGCGGAAAATTGATCACTAGCGAACCACCCCGTGATGAGTTTTGGTGGTCACCATACAGGGGTAAACCATTTTCAAGTGCCTTAGAAATTCTTATTCGATTTTTATTCATCCCAACTACTTTGAACTCCAAATGCTTTGGAAGGATAACAAACATACTACAAATGGGTATCAAAAGTATCAAAAGTATCATATTTGCCATATTTACCATATTTGTCATCAATTAGGTTAATTTCATCAGCACTTTATTCTGTACGAAGCTTAAGGATCTATTCGTCCGGTTTCTTTCGCTTTCGCTCCCTCCTTCTCATCTATCGATTTGACTGAGGGAAATCCAGATCTCTGAGCGCTATATCATTTTTCTTCCCCCATTCATGTTGACGTATCCACCAAAGATTAGATCCAAATGGATTTGTAAGCTCTGAATTGTATGGTTGTATGCATGTTGATGCTTTCGACATGTGTAGTAAGCTTTCATTTCCCTGGTACGTCGACTTAAGTACTCATTGCTCAGCCTTACGGATCAATGGATTCATCAACCTCCTTGGAATCTAAACGAATATTTACCAGAAACGTTACAACATGCAAGACAGCTCGGAAAAGGAGCATGTTTGGAAATGTAAGTACGAATACCCTTTGATGATAGTTACCATCGTATTTGCATGCAACAAGAATCGTATACAATACGATCAGATCCACCATCACGACAACTTCTAATGCTCACCGAAGGATTCAAAGAGTAATTCATCATTACAACAATTCTACCACTCATCTATTTTTTCACCGGCATTGAAGCTCCTGGCAGAAGAGGCAAATGGCCATTGTGGAATACCCATCGCACTCGGATTATGATTATTGCCATTTCGGTCATCAACTCTCTGCGCTCCTCAAGAAATAATCGAAAACAATTAGATTCTGGAACAAAGAAGAAAGAACACATATGATGTTGCCGCAAGTTTGGGATTTGCTTACATGGTCTGCAGCGACACAGTAACCTTAACTCAGAATCCGAGAGAAGATTATTCGTCAATCATCTTATCATTCTGACGTGCTGACTTTGCTCTCCATGGCTTATGTTGCTTGGTAGGTGTTGAGGCTGGAAATAGTCCGTCGATGTGGCTGACTATTGAAAGCTGCTTGAAAATGATGTTTACAATGACATAAGATTTTTTACGGCTATGATATCCTACTCAAGACCAAGCATCATTGACCAAAAGTCTCGAGTGACTGTATCTCTATGCTTTTGATATGCGGGACGATACTTGTTGTAGTATACTTGGGGCATTTTTCACAAGCGTCCATTGGTCGAAAAGATTGATCGATTTATCCCAACACCGCAAAGAATTAATAGGGGGCGACAATGAAGTTCGGTTATTAACGTGATGTGACTAATTCTAGGAGAGTAACAAAATGTATCAGGAAGGGCGTGATCGTTATCTTTTCAATGCTATGTGGTAATCATGTGCTCTGCACTCCTTCCCTCTTGGGCTAGCTTATTTTTACCGTAAATCTAGAAGCTTCCGGTTTTGAAATTTACCTTATATATCAGACTTCATCTGCAAATGTCTAAGATATTGTGCCAGAAACGTTGATACCAAAGTCAGGAAAGTTGTATCCTGATTATTATTTCTCTCGGATAAGCGTCAATTCACCGAGGCTACCACAGACTCTCAAAAGGAATCTGAATTGGATGAAATTCCTAGACTTCTTTCCAACTTTCAAACCAAACACTTGAGTTGATTCCAGAATTAAAAATCAGCTAGACTTCCCATACAACGCTTCAGACTCCCCAAATCGCAAAAACCATGACCGAACGCACCCATCTAGCTTTTCATCATGACTCGCATCTGTCTACCCTCCAAACCACCATCACATCTATAAGCCCCCTCTCAACGCTTTCCGAGGAAAACAAACTGCTTTTCAAAGATGGCAAGGACGATTCATACGTCATCATAACCAAATCTACCATTTTCCACCCCCAAGGCGGTGGCCAACCATCCGATGAAGGCATTATGGAGAATGAAGAAGGAAGCAAATTCACCGTCCAGATGGTACGCATGAGCGCCACCACCGACGGAGAAGTTCTCCACTTCGGTTCATTTTCCACCCCCACTCAATTTCTCCCGGGTCAAGAAATCACCCAGAAAATCGACCAGGAAAAACGTCTGTTGTACTCTCGTTACCATACCGCTGGCCATGTTCTCGGTGCTGCAGTTCGTCATCTTGTTTCCTCTTCTGTTCCCGGTTTTGACGAAACGAAAGCTTCACATTTCCCCTCTTCCGCTGCGTGTGAGTTTGCTGGCCTCATAGAAAGTACTTGGAAAACACCCATCCAGCAAAAACTTGACGAGTATATCGAGGCGGATATGCCCGTTGAGATTCACTGGTGGGATGAGGCAGATTTTATCGCAAATGGAATGGAGAGATTGATACCTGATCGAACCGCCATGGGAATGACGCAGGAGGAGAAGTTTAGAGTGGTGAAGATTGTGGGTGCGGAAACTTATCCTTGTGGTGGGACACATGTGGATAGTACGAGCCAGTGTGGAAAAACGACTGTGAAGAAGATTGCGAGATCGAAGGGGACGAGTAGAGTCGGATATACGCTTGATTGATGGAAATGACGTCAAACTTTGCAAATCCGTAGCTTTTAGCGAAGCAACTACGAGTGTAGACGAAAATGGAGAAGTCGTCCAAGGAACTGGATACGATGATTCCAAAGATACGGGGCAATCTAAGTTATCCAGTATGCTGCTACTACCACTGCCACTTCCTCAAGCGTTGGTAATTTATCTGCTATTTTAATTGCACGGAGTCAAAGCATGATGGGCATCTTTTCATATAAAAACTTAGGTTTAGAAAGTTCCAGTCTAATTCGATGCTATTCAGGCGGGCTGGGTGGTAGAGGCGTTTGAACAAGGTTATGATGAGACAATATGGAAATGAATAGAGAGGAGCACTCTTTTGGCTCAATTCTCTTCTCGCAGGAGACGGAGGAAGAATGGGTTTGCTTCTCTCTACACTTTGTTCGGGCAGGTGAGGAAGTCAAAAAGTGTTTTGGCCTTGGAGATTCACTGAATTTCTAGATCAACGAATTTTAAATGGGACCGAAAATTGAAAAATAAATTTAGCATTAGAATTCTGAGACCTTTCTCTCAGAAATAAGCGTCATCTAAATGACCAAAATAGACTATATACCATAATCGACATTTTCCCGTCCCTCAAAAGCAATCTACTAAATCAAAGAATCATCGCTATCAATAACATGCAAAGCAATCGCTGCCCATAGCCAGCACCGAACGCCATTAGGTATATCCCGTCAAACTCCTTCGATCGATCCCATCCATTAAACACTACCTAATCACCCAACCACCCAGCCGGCCAACCTAAACCGCTCAATCCCCCGCATTCCTCCTAACATCTCTTTCCTTCTGCACCTTTATCCCGGCCAAATCCTTCATCCCATTACTCCACCTCTGTTTACTTCCCACCTCACCGCCACCCTTCTGAGATGCATAACCATAAGCATTTCTCCACCCCTCAATCTCCGTCTCTATCTGCGATTCCAAATCCGCATCTACGACCCTGACGCCCAGGCTCTCTCCAAATCCACTATCCCCACTAAGCCCCGTTCCCGAACTACCATTTCTTCCATGTCGCCCCATCTCCGATGGATTTCCTGAGTTTCTCTTCCCGTCGTCGAATCCAAATACGGGCTCGGTGTCTAGATCCATGTCTCGCTGTTGCCTGGGAAACAAATTACCTGTAGTTCTTGTTCTGCTGAGAGGGTATTCTGGGGATTCTTCACTGCCGCTTCGATTTGTTTTCTCAGAGTAATCGCGCCATATTTGGCCGAGTAAGGGGCGAAAAGTTGGGATCGAGGCGACGAGAATCCAGAGATTGAGTTCGATTATTGCCCATAGGCCGGCGTCTACTTCGTTGACTATTGTTTTCTTAGTTGATTTGTTGAGGAGAGCGCATGTAAGATATTGAACTTCAGAGGAAAGGGGTAGGAAATGGCTTAGAAGTTTAACTTACAAGTAGGATCAAAGCCCGGCAATCTTTGTGCAACAACCAGCCGCCATAGTCGAATTGCCGAAACTACCGTTACCCTACAGTTTGGATTAGGGTGTTTGACCGGGTAACCATTATTCGATGAAACACTCACACAAGCCCTAGCAAAAAAGTGCTGCTAATAGTAATCCGCTCCCCTATACTTCTCTTGATTTGCGCAATGAACCAAACTGGGATGGACAGAACCACAATATCAAATGCAATCGTAAATGCTTCATTGGAAGTAAAGAAGACGGGATAATCGATGCATTTTGCGGCAATGGCAGTGTTCCAGAAAGCTTCTATCGGACGGCATGAGAATATTCCCACAAAAAGCTGGTAGAGATAGAGAATTAGTACTTTCTCTCTCAAGGTCCTCTGACTGGCACTTGGATCGGCATAGCATGATATGAGGTAATATGGGCGGGCAAATGAACGTTTAAAAAACCATGAAGTTGAACTTTCAGACAGTATAATGGGATAATAGTAAGGAATTAACTCACAGCAGCAACACCCCACGCCCCATTGATTGCACCGGCGAAAAGAATTGGGACCTTCCCGCCAGTAGCAGCGAATACTCTCCAGTAAAGCGCCAATAGAGACAATTTGCTCGTGCTAAGAGCTATGGGGTAGAGAAGAGCCAAAGCATATAGACCTTTCAGATAAGCTTCAAGATGTTCCGGATCAGATTTGTGAACGTGTTGTCCGTAGAAGTTATTGTTGACTTCAACAATTATGACTGCTGTATAGGCAATTGAGAGGATCTGGATCTGATGTTAGTTTTGGTTATTTGTTTTACTATGGGAGATTTTCTAAAAGATTCTAGAGGGTGAGAGTTACTGCTGCAATGAGAATAAACAATTCATCTAAGCCCAAAGGAATTTTAGTGTACCAGCGGGAGAAAAAGCGAATGGCAATAGCACACACAGTCAAGGCGATGAAAGCAATTGATACCGCTTTCAATAGAGGTCCCTCGTTGGCTTCGAGGTTGATACCTGGATAAATTGGTGTTGTGAAAGACATTGTAGATACTCAACAATTTAAAAGCTCACTCGAAAGTTCGACGGAAGATCTGGATGCTTATAGATTCCTGCAGACTTCCATAGCCTTGGTACTACTTTAAATGGAAGTTTGCTTTTGCGATCCGCAACTGGCGGCACGTCATATTTCTTATCTGTCTAGCCATAAGCAAGTTTACTTTATGGTCAAGGAGAACGGAAAAGAGCACTTTCTGGAGGAGGAAACTCGCGCAACCTACCCCAAGAAGAGCAAGTGTCAATGGTGTGATGGCTCTACGTACAGGGCACGGTTTGTGTCGCCACACTCTTTCGATCACAATAACGAACAAGGGAGGGCTATAGATAATTCGTAATTTTTCGAAATGGAGTCTCCGCATTTTCAAAAGTAAACATGATGAAAATAAAGGCACGTGACCCTGAAAATGTCCAAAATAGTGGTCCAGATTGACTGAACTAACTCCTTTTGTCGCAGTTTGCGAACTCCCCTGCACGCAAAGAATTTCTCCGATACATTTTATATCGGAGATCCTGCTCCCTGTAAGAATGCAGGTCTTTGAAACTTCATTCGTCCATGTTTCAGTTTTCTGAGTCCAGGTCCAATGTCACACTGCTTGCTTACTTTGAGCGAGTCTGGAAAAATATACACTTACTCTCGCAACAGAAGTACTGCAGAACACCACAGGATGCCAGAATCGTCTTCATCCAAGCTGCAATGATGTCAAACAACTGCTGGTAAGACGAGCAAATGATCAGCTGGATTTGCTGTGATGCGGAAGCAATCCTTTCTCGTATAAGCAATGTCTTGATGTCCCTCTCGTTCATGTGGTGTAAATTTTTCAAATCCTCATGCAAGTGGCTAAAGAGCATTTGTACCCTCTGGTCATAACCAGGTGCCATGGAATAAGGGGGAGGAGTGGCCCGTCTCGGCTCATATATCTGAGAGTAGTAGTTGTATAATTCGGATCAAACGAGTGTCATGAACTTGTATATGAAGGACTCGCATACGAGAGAACTCAACAGTGGAAAACTGAGCATCAAAATTGCGGAAGCAAAATGTCAGTCTGTTTGGGGGGGGGGGGGGGGGGGGTTCAAAAGGCTCTACCTTCTCTAGCCTGTCTTCGTGGAAGGGCTGGTGTGCCCCTTGTCAAAGCTACCACGAAGACAAGTCTCCATTTAAAGTCAAGCTTATTCCGATTACGACTCAATTGATCTTGCTAATAACATTCACAACACTAGTTTGTCTGCAGATATATCAGAATGAAAGGATTTGAGTCGTGTTGAATGAAGCAAACAATAGATTACTGGTGTAAAAATAGTGGAATCGTTGATTGGACATAGGCATGAGATGAACTCGTGACCAGAGGGTTGCTTTGGCCTTGGTTAATAAAGAAATCTCGGAGTAGGTGATGTATGCGGAAGTCATAGTTCCAAAAACTACACCCTCGGTATGTCTGACTAAGGCAGGGTGCCAATTGATCTCACTGAAGATCTAGCATACCTGTAAAGGGACAAACGAACAGCCTCCAATACCTGAAAATGTGCGTGTATTAGTTGCAAATGCCAACCGTCACAATTGAATATGCATGAGCGCCAGATTGTCAGAGTGCCAGCCTGCTACAACATGATCAAGTGATGAGGAAAGCGTTTTCCGTAGCTTTGGGATCCTCGACTGAAAAAGATCTGGATTTGTCGTTGCTGAACGAGGTGATGTTCCAACCTCAAGTATCCAAGAAATTTCAGTATGTCGTCAAACCACAACTTCGCTTCTAGATTGACTTGATGCCGCACACGTCCGTAAGATCCATTCAATACCTCACCAACAATGCATGTATTGGCCCGCGTTGGCATCGTTCGCGAATCGGTCCACAAACCGGACATATGTGACGGAACGGAATCTCTTCTCCCGATCAAGGTTCTTTCTCGTAAAAAGATGGTGTCTACGACGGGTTTCGTGAAAAACTTGGCACCTTGACTTGTATTTTTGTTAATTCGTCGAAGGTCGGAAAACTAAGAGATACGACGATACGACATCATCTCCTGGATTTCCACCCACTTCCGAAATTCCGAAGCCAATGAGACCCAAACCTTATCTTTATTAAAGACTTGTGAACGTTAATCCAAAATATGGAATAAACTTATGCTCGGTGCTTCTCTCGTATCACATGCCTCGAGTATCATGCCGAATTCCCCGGAAGACATAAATTCTCATTTCATAAGCTTTCCTTTATACTTACATTCTTGAGTCTGATAGCAAACTTAGAGTTCATCTGAAGCTGACTCTCTATTCATAATTCAGGTACAAAAGAGGACACAGGAGCAGCCAAAGGTATGTTATGTGTACACATATATACGGGGCGAGAGTTCGCACAATAGCACATCGCTATCTCGTATATACCTCCATCTATCTATAAAGCCAGAGCAGACATAGACAGATACCAGGCCAATCTGAGCCGAGCAACGTTGGTTCATCGCGTGGAAATGAGGTCTGGGTCTATTACCTATGCGTGGGTTGAACTTGAAACCTATATTTGTTTCCTGGAAAACCGTTAGTACCCCGAATATAGTGATACTAGTGGAGTTTACCATATTGATTCCCGCTTTGATAAATATGGCGATAACTTGAAACAATTATATATATGGTTCAACTCAAAATTGAGCAAGATCGGAAGAAAACCCCTCGAAAGACCATAGCTTGTGGACTATTCGGACGAAAGTAGGAATGTTTTGAATTGTTTTGAGATGAGGAAGACGGGGGAGTAGTGGGGAAAACTCTATATCAAGGGGTTGGAGCAGTGGCTTTGAATGGGTTTGAGTGGCTTAGAAAGGTCGTGAATGTCGGTAAATCGGTGATTGATCCATATTAAGATTTCCCGTTGCAAGGTACTCCATCTGTTCCTTGACCCGAGAGATTGGTGGACTTGCCAGTTTCCCGTCGTGGACTCGCGGACTTGTGTAAAGTTTAAACAAGGGAGAGAGTAGGTAGGTATGTATGTATGCAATTGACCGGCTATAGTTAATGTAGTTATTCAGATCTTTACAGAGGATTCTTCTCGAGTAATTGTTTCTGCTTGGCCCAATATTGAGTAAACAAAGCATTTGTTATTAATAAACCAACAGACTACAACTCACAGCAATTGGTCAATCCTTCCACCGTTCATTTGTTCATTTGTTCATTCGTTCATTCGTTCATTCGTTCATTCGTTCATTCGTCCATCCATTCATTCGTTCATTGCATTGTCTTATAATCACTAATTGCATCCATCGGAGCTCTCCTTTCATTCACAACCCATTCGCTCATTCATTCATTCACCCATTCGTTCGCTCACTCTTATTTTGATGATACCTACCGGAATGGACTGTGACGGCAATCATCAATAACGAGTTGCATTCCATGGAGACTATAATACACGAAGACTCTCCGCTCGCCGCCTATCTCGAAGGTATGCATGAAGAGGAGGGGGATATCTTGCACTGCATGAGTGGGGACTTACTGACATGTTGCCATAGGAGAAGGTGGAGAGGATACACGATGGGCATCAAGCCATGATGGGGATGCCGATTCTGATTTGTCGAGTCCATCATTTGCTCCACGAGGGAAGCCAACCGTATCTCTTAAATTTCGACATAAACTTCCTCCGCCTCTGCAGCTTACCCCTCCGCGCAACACCACTGTCGCAGCGATACATAATACCTGTTCCGTAAGTCGTCATCTGGGTCTTATCCAAGTCTTATCGTCTGATAATCAATCGCAGGAAGCTGTCAATTCACGACTTGGTCGAGCCGATAATGCAAAGTTCCTCGAACGATTCCGTTATGTCATAGTAGCTTCACAGCTTCTCAATACACATTCCTTTCTTGCGCAGACAGGCCATGGCCAATCTCGAGATGTTACAGGGCCTACACTTGATGCCCCGCAAATTGGAACCTTCACACTCTCGGGCGCCGCAGCCACAGCAACACTTGCTTTTTCTTTTACATGGTTAATACACTGGACACGCGGGAATGGAACTTTTATACGTGGGAAGATCCGTGTAGTAATACTATCTATTACCATAGCGGTTTCTGCTATGGTATTATATACATATGTGCGGAAGCAGTGGCTCCAATACCTTCGACAGCAATCTATCATAGAAGCATCGCAATTTGTTCACAAAGCACAGCAGTTTGATGCTGTTGCGGCAGGAGCCCTAACACTCGTTCAAGAAGTTGAACTGGTATCTCGTGGATATAGACTGTAGGATCTTTCACCATTCAACTTACTGGCAAAATTAACCTCTTAATAGAAGCACACCCTTGCCCCCCGTCAGTCGTCTCGAAGATCGAAGTCAGACACGAAGATGTCTACGACTCAGAAAGATCCTCCGAATTTCCTTTGCCAACATTATCCCTCGGTATATTCAAGCATGCAACTTATTGAAGCCCTTTGCGGAAGAGATGGATCTGGATAAATACTATGATGTATACGATATAAGTGATTTGGATTATACAGAGGCTATGCTAGGCTACACAGAAGGCGAATTCGAGGATGAAGATTCTGTCAGGGTATTGAAGATATTCGCTGCTAGATTCCACACTATTCGAAAGATTTTTCTTTGTTGCCTTCTTGCATTCGATGCGCATGGCGGTAAACCGGATTTTCACAGATGGGGCCTTGCTGTTGACGAATTACACACACTTTGCTCCGCCACTTCTGAGGCCGAGGATAAAATTCGTCGTATTTTGGGTGAAGAAGAGAGTAAGTTCGAAACTATTTGTCAATATCGTTCAAATCTAATATCCTACAGATTTCCCAGTTCCAACTACTCCAAAGCTACCCCTTACTCCGGGCCGAGAACGTGCGCGGGCACAATTACGCAAACTAAACACGCTGTCATCTGGGATCCGTGGACTACAAGCGAAATTGCATGTTTTGCGCGAGGAGTCTGATAAATCATTGAACGACACAGAAGATGTATCGGAACTCGGTTCAAATCTGATGATGCAATACGATTCAATAGGCATCGACTTGAAAGCATTGATGCAAGAGTGGGAAGATGGGAAAGCTGCCTTGGCAGTGAACATTGACAGGAACGAGAAACGTCTATCTTCTATGTGTGGAATGACATCGCCAGCATCATCTCTAGGAGGCCTAACAGCCGTTGAAGAGGGAACAGCCGCTGATGCTTTGAGAGCTCTAAATGGTGAGGGGAGATCTCGGTCTAGCCTTGAATTGAGTGGTTCCGAAGCAGAAGAGGTGTTTGAAGCAATCGCGTTACCACACCAACGCAGCAAATTGACAAGGGAAGAACGTATTGTGAAGATGAAGGAGGATCGTGTGAAGAGAGAGTCTATGAGAGACCGAGCGGATGCCAATACTAAAATGCTCCGAGAACTCGAGTCTGTAATTAATCTACGGCCGAGACCAAGAACTACTCCAGCAGGGAGAATCACGTCGATATGAAATAATGTTTAACGTTTTTCTTTACAAATTTAGATAGACATCCTTGGGTTGATTCGGAAGGCAAGGGAGTTCTGGGAGGCAGGCTACCCCAAAATGCTTGAAACAGCTTTCATTTGTTACTCGATTTACTGGGAAGGTACTACCCTAGGCGAATAAGGAGGCGGTAAGGCGCAAATCTAAAGCTTATTATATAATATGTACTCAGAAGTAGTTTAAAAATATGAAAATTGTAAATGAACTTAAGTGCCTTGTCATAAGAATTGTGTCGCACAGTAGATTCGAAATATACTTATCCGATTTTTATTTCGTCTTCATTGCGTGCCAGAATTTAACACAAGAAGCGCACGATCACGTGAGTTCGTGGTTTCAATATTTGGATGCTCTTTCCATGAACAGTATTATTGTTGTTATACAGCTTCCACTTCAGCGATTGATACGAAACGAATCACAGAATGCATGAAGTGATGAAAATATCTTTTGCTGTCTGATAGATTCCCAATCGTGATGGCCACTTTTGCCACGAAAAGAAAACGCGTTTTGGATTCAGTATTCAAAAAGCCCGAGATTTCAGAACCTACCCCAGTCGCAACGCCGACCGGTAGCTTTACAACACCAAGCCAACCATTTGGAGAATCACAAGGCTTCAATAATGGGCCGAAAACACCTGCTTCAAATACGAGGAGCTCGCAACAGCTCAGAGGGCATAACCGGGATTCATCTGTAGCCCAAGTTCGGGATCAAATCCAATGGGATAGATCTTGGCATACTGTTACTTATCGTCTTCAACTTCCGGATGTACCATTGGACACGGGTTCTATTGAGACTCTGAGACCTCTGTCGATACTATCTGATCCATCCTTTGACGACGCCTTAAAGGACGTTCTGGATCCCGTTAACCGCCTTCCATTTGCATTGCATACGGATGATCTCCTTGTTTGGCATACCCAACAAGTCCGTAGACATCTTCTCCATCAAATTCTGCCGGTATTGCGACTCTGCAATGATGAAGAGGGTCCCCAACCTTCGGTTTTTGGCAGTGTAAAGATATTAGAATTTGCTCATCGTATGTATTTGCATGGCTTGTCAGTCATCCTCAAACAAGTTGAGCTTTTTACTCCGGGACTCTCGCGTGTGGTTTTGGAGAAATTCCGACGGGATCTACATGCTATCATAACAAATTCTCTCACAGATCAATTTATTACATCATTAAGGACTGTTCTCGAAAATCATGTTTCTTCTATCCTTGGATTGCAGGGCGTAAGGGGATCTGGTATTGCACCTATTGATGCGAGGACAGATAAAGTTTGTAACGAAATGCTCAACCTTGTGGAGTCTCTACACAAAGTTGGTCTGGCCGGAGAAAAGTTTGAGGTGATTTTTGCCGAAATCATGAACCAATCTATGACTGAATATGTCAATCGAGGTTGCAAGGGACTGTGGTCTGCAAATGAAATAAATGTGACCCCCCAAGATGGCGAAAGAAGAAATTCCGTACTTCCACGAACGGCACATCACGTATCCCCGTCCAATTGTGTTACAGATCTGTGCGGATGGATTGGAGATCGGTATTCTAAACTCGCTGTCCTGGTCTTTAAAGTCATCGACAATGTTGAAGTAGCTTGGAGCGATATGGAAAGGTGGAAGGAAATGAGCATTGGCCGTCTCGCAGCACTGAGGACGGACGAGTTATTTGATATTGTTGTGAATTGGCCAAATAGTAATGGAGCATTGCACGACCTTCGAACAACAATTACCACACCTCAGAGACGATTACGCTTAACAGAAGCTTTTGCAGCCACTTTGAAAGAAAGGCTACTTCATCCAGGGGCTTCCACATTATTGATTCTACAGACCTACATCTCAATGATTTGGTCATTTCATTCGCTTGATCACTCGAAAGTGCTCTTAGATCGTGTAGCATATCCGTTACAGGTATATCTATGCTCACGAGAAGATACGGTCCGAATAATAATCGCAGGGTTGCTTTCGGACACTGAAGACGCGCAAGGAAATCCTGTCGAATCAAGTGGAGATAGACTCATTGAGCTAGCTCATTTACTTAATAATGATTCAGAGCAGTCTGGACAGAAAATTGACGATGAAGAATTAGATTGGCATGACATGGAGTGGGTACCTGATCCTGTAGATGCAGGACCAGGATACAAGAGGTCCAAAAATGCTGATATCATTGGAACATTAATTGGGGTTTTCGGCTCACAAGATGTTTTTATCAGAGAGTTTCAAAACATCATCAGCGAAACCCTTTTGAAGAACGACGGAGCTTTCGAAAAAGAGGTATTTGTTTTTTCTATTCGCCTTCTCATACATGCAATTCTAATAATTTCTCAGATCAAAGTTCTCGAACTTCTAAAATCTCGCTTCGGGGAAGCGCCGCTCCAAAGCTGTGAAGTAATGCTAAAAGACATTCTCGATTCCGTTCGCCTTGACCAAGCCATCCACAAAGCCCAAAATCTTAGCATCGCAGAAAAGAAAGCTATGCCTCTCCCATCGACTCATCCAACTCTCCATACCAAAATTCTCTCTCGTCTCTTCTGGCCTCCCCTCCAAGAATCCACCTTTACTCTCCCTCCTCAAATCACCAACCTCCAATCGGACTACTCCACCGCCTTCTCCTCTCTCAAACCTTCCAGAAAACTCACCTGGCTTCCCGCACTCGGCCACACAACCGTCGAGCTCGAACTAGCCGACCGCACCGTGGTCGCAGAATGCACAACCTGGCAAGCCACCGTAATCTCCTGTTTCCACAGCAAAACCACGCATCTCAATCCCGACGAGGAAGAAGTCCCCGCGCAAAAAAGCATCGAAGAACTCACTTCCGAACTCGACATGGACCCCGCGCTCATCGCCTCCGCCCTCAAATTCTGGGTCGCAAAACTCGTGCTTCAGGAATCCCCGCCGAAATCGCAAGTCTACTCTGTTCTCGAAACGCTTAATGCGTCGGATCGTGCGCGTTCTGATGCCCTTGCTTCGGCGCCTGTGGGTGCGGATAATGCTGATGAGGAAGGAGAGGGTGGAAAGGAAGAAAAGGGTATCGCGGGTGAAAATGCAAAGGTGTATTGGCAGTTTGTGCAGAGCATGTTGACGAATAGCTCGAGTCAGATGGGAGCCCCGCAGATTGCTATGATGTTGAATATGTTGATTGCAGAGGGATTTCCATACAGTAACGAGGAGTTGTTAGAGTGGTTGGGTGGAAAGGTAGAAGAGGGCGTTTTGGAATGTGTCGGGGGCCGATATCGTTTGAAGAAGTAGGGGGTGTAGAGATGGAAATGAGGTATGCAATGTATAGTGTTGCTCACGTTGAGGATTATGTCTAGCTGAGTGAGATATCATATATATCCAATGCAATCAATTTCACGTCGAAAAGTCAGTACCACCCTTGTTTTCTGCATCTAGAGAACTTAGTGGAATCGTGCATCAATGTTTTGCATGTAATTGCGAGATCTGTTTGCAATTGATTGTCGTAAAATATTATAATCCTATATGCTCTGTGATGTCATGTGCCATCTATAAACTGCATGTATCTCTATCTCCTACGTTCCACATCTTACATATCTGGGGTATCTATCTATGTATCCATCTTTATATCCATCCACATCTCTCTCTCTCTCGCTGCGTCCAATACCTCTTTCCCGAGGACGATAAGCCTATGCGTAATTCCCACTCACATCCACCCCCCTAACGCCTCCAACACCCAATCCGCCTGCACAGCACTAACCTTCTTCGCCCAATTCCTCGTACTGAACACATTTTCCAAGAACATAATCGCCTCGATTTTTCTTCCCCAAAGCACACTCTGCGGATGAATAACCACGGCATTTTTCCCCTTTGTCGTCACGTAACTTCCGTCTGGGGCTAACGTTGCCGTTCTATCCCCAAACGACCTCAGAAATGCTTTAATCAAACATTCGGCTCTTTCGGGGTAGAGGGTTCGAAGGGCTGAGGATCAGGAGGGGAAGTGCGTCAATGAGACCATGAGTGACGCTTAATTGACGCAATTGTTTGCGATTCAGCATTGCGGATTTCATTGCCCGCGCGCTGATGTTGCGGGATTTGCACCATTGGAATCGATTTGTATTTTCGGAGGCGTAGCGTTGCATGGTTGTTAGATACGTGAGAAGATCGCCTTCACGACGGATGATATCGGCGCGATTGGCATCGACTTCCTCTTCTTGTTCTTGAGATTTGGGTTGGATGAAAACTTCAGAATCGGCAGTTAGGAGGGAGATAACGTCGATGGCGTCGAGGACGCAATTGTACTCTGGAGATGAGGAGGCGATGAGTGCACGGCCATAGGCGGCAGGAAGAGGGAAGCTGGCCATCTTTTTACCATCTGTGGTTAAGTTACCTTCGTCATCCAGAGCTCCCATAGCGTTAAGTTGGAAGATGGCATGCTTCATAGCTTCCACATCAGGTGCATCCATGAGAGGAAAGTTGATAACATCTTGCACTCCACGAGCTTTCATCTTAAGAACTGCCTCGAGCACATCGCAGCGAAGAATTTCAGGAATTTCGTCTTGAAGCCAAGATTCATATTCATCTTTACCATATGCTCTCCAACATTTACCAGCTGCTTCACGACCAGCACGACCCATTCTTTGAAGGGCGGACTGTTTAGAGATCGGCACGACGAGCAAAGATTCCATACCCAGCTTTGTGCGGTACTTCTTAACCTTGGCTTTACCACTGTCAACTACATATCGCACACCGGGAACTGTTACGGAAGTTTCCGCAATGTTAGTAGCCAGAACGATTTTCCTCGTCCTGGGCTCCTTGACTGGATCGAAAGCTAACTGTTGAGCATCTGGTGGAAGAGCACCATACAGCGGTATAACCTTGATTCTTGGCACTTCTTTGCTTAGAGACTCGCCGAGAGCCTCAAGTCTCGTTTGCATATATTCAATCTCTTCTTGACCGACTAGAAAGACTAGAATATCTCCAGGAAGAGGTTCTGTAACATGTATACTTGCAATCCTCTTGAACATAGTCTCCTGGTAATTACTGGGATCGGCCGGTTTGTCATAGTATAGGTCAACTTTGAATTTCCTACCTTTGACTTCCTCAATGGCAACGCCAGTGTCTACTTTTTCGGAGCTTTCTGTCTCTTTTATTTCCACATCCTCTACCTTTCCAGACTTTACAGCCAGCATTGGTTTGGCAGCCTCAATGACCTTCTCGTTGTTCACAAGATGTGGTGCAAATATTGAGCCATAGTTATTTCCCGGTTGATAACTAGGATTCGAGTCAGGGTTTGCAAAGAAAGCTTCGTATCCGCCTAAATCAAGAGTTGCACTCATGATGACGACTTTCAATGGAATGCCACCACGACCTTGTTTATCCCCATGAACTATCTGTCGGAGAAACCCAGCAATAAGATCAACATCAACTCCTCTCTCGTGAATTTCATCAATAATGACAGCACTATATTTTCGGAGATTTGGATCATGGACCATTTCTTGAAGCAAGGTACCTTCGGTAACAAATTTGATCTTCATTCCAATGGGTGTATTGGTATCGAAACGAACGGAATAACCGACCTTTCCAGGAGTGTTTGTACGTTGGTATCCAAGGGCAGATCCCATCTCAGCAGCAACACGACGGGCTAAAGTAATAGCAGCAACACGACGAGGTTGAGTAATAGCAATGACACCGCCGACTGAAATTTCCTCTTCTTGACCCGTCGCATTCTTGACTTTTACCTTCTGCTTCTTGCACCAAGGCTCATCATGCATAAACTGAGGCAGTTGAGTACTTTTTCCGGAACCAGTCTCTGCAGTTAAGAGAAGGACGTCATTGGTACGCAAAGCAGTTTTAAGATCAACCAGTTTCTTGTATACCGGAAGTGATTTTCGAAACGGCTCGAGTTCCCTAGCTGTCTTTTGTAGATGCCTGTCTGGGGCCGCTTTCTTGACATTCTCACTGCCAGACCTCGGGTTTTGTCCCCTCTGTCGATCTTTCTCCTCCCCGAAGGATTTGACTTTACTGGTGCCGTTGATTGGTTGTTTCGCCTCATTAGGAACTTCAGCTTCTTCTACCTGCTCTTTCCTGCCGGCCTTCAAGTCATCCGCATGCTCTAATTTTGTCAACTTCGCACCGTTTGCATTTGTCGCCTTGTCCTCCACCACCGCCAGTTTCTTCCGCTTCGAATCTGATTTTGGGCTTCCATCTCTTAAACGTTTCGTGCCTGTGGATTTCGCCGAATGTGATTGCGATTGCGATTGCGACTTCGATTTTGATTTTGATTGCGCCTGTTTCTGATTCATAGATTTCGTATCAGGAGCCCCCTCATTTTTCACAACCTTAGGAGTCTCATCAGCATCGTCGCCGAATTTGAGAAAAACTTTCTCGGGCATGACGGCAATTGTTAGGAATCCTCCAGCTCTCTAAACCTGACGTCTTAAAGAACACTTTTTTGTATAAATAATTCGAATTTTCTATTATCGTAAGAATGATAGGACAAGAATTCAATACGCTTATTAAGAGAAAAAGATCTAAAATTATAGAGTAAAATAAATATAATAGTGAAGAGGTGAGAAGCTCTCTTTTATATCAATAAAGGAAAAGATTATTTTACAATGTTCAGCGAAAGCATCGGGAACTTTTTTCTGCCAAATCCTACCGCTTTTCTTCAAAGGTTATGATCGACGAAGCTAATCAGCCTTGTCGGCACTGTATAATCATCAGCCTTGCATTGCATGATGGGACGACATCATCCCAAAAGACAGAGATAAATCTGATAGGTAGTGAAATTAAATTCAACTAGACCCATCAAGAAATGCTCTAAAACAATAGTTACTCAATCACTCGAACTAACCAATGTCAAAATATGTGAATAAATCAGAGTTCTTGATAATTTTCCTATGTCTCTTAGTTCTGATGTGCATATTGAAAATTTTGAAAGTCAAAGCGGCCATTCACACATTTTCTTGGTTGATATGCAGAGCACAACCACTAATTTTTTATCCAAATGTTTTCTATTCGCTAATTATGTATGTTTATTTAACGCTGGGCTGACCAGGAAGATGATGATCGATGCCAACACCCACCGCCATCATCACCATTGCTACCATCTCAACCAATTCTTCAGGAGATTGGAAAGAGGATTCTTAGAGCCGCTAACACACAAGTAGTTTCCCCATTCAAAATTGGTATACGAACCTGAGACTCCTATCCACGCCAGTACGCCTTGCCTGCCAGGTCCAAATAGCCCAAATGAGTCTTATGTGTGCATGAGTGTTTGAAAAGATGGAAAAGCAAAGCCGACGGAAAGAGTTCAAGAGAGGGTACGTGATACTTGCAATTTTGAAATTTATCCATAGATTTTTGATTCTGGCCGATGTGTGCTTCAAAAGTCTCCCATGTCCCCATTCGGAGCGGGATAAAGCTCAGCATCTCTACCTCCTCTCTGTCTCTGCTGCTCATGTTCCCGTTGCCGAGTTTGCTGGTGCTGTTGAAGTTGTTGCTCAGTTTGGTGATTCCGCTGATACTGCTGAGCTTGTTGTTGGGTTTGAAATCCAAAACCACGAGCCAGCTGCTGGTTTTGAAAGGCAACAGAATCTTCTTGTTGGTAAACTGGAGATTGGTAATTGTGATGTTGGCCGGGATTCACGCTTTCGGTTGAATCAAATGCCGGAGTTCCCATAGATCCGAACCCGCTCGGTCTGTGTTGGGAATAAGAGGGTGCGGGTGGGGGCATAAAAGTATTTGACACTGCAGAAGATCCCGGGGACAAGTTTGTTGGAAACATGTAACCCGTCGAATTTGCCGAGTGTCCCAACGAGTTAGTTGTGAGCGGTGCGGGCTGCCGGTGTCCATTATTCGTGATTGATGCGCCCATTGTTCCGGGTGAGACTCCTTCCGAGTTCGAGTTATGCCGTGAATGTGCTTGAAAGGGATTGACTTCATTTTGCAGCTGTGAAGTGGGAGTGTAGAGTCTGTTAGGACTCATCAAACTGGGACGTCTTCCTGGAGGTGCTGGTGCTGTCCCAAATCCGGCCATTCTTCCTCGGGCAACGCGACGTCGGCTTTCCACAGTATCGGCAGCTGACCAGACTGGTGTGTGATAGTCCTGTGGATCAAGTGCGCTTCCTACATGTCAGCCTTTTTTCAGAGAGTGATAGTTCGGGACATACCCTGAATTGATAAGGCCGGCTTCAGCGGAACGGGCAGTTGTGTTATGGCGATATCGCATTTGCTGCCGTACCAGCTGCTCAATCACCTTCCTTGTGGATTGTGTGGGAACTTTGTCCCTGCAGTACGGACAGCTGTCGTTTTCCTTGAACCATGTCTTGAGACAGACATCTCCAAATATATGTTTACACTTGGGCATACGTAACGGCTGTTCAATCACGCCTTCGGGATTCGCCACGCCGATTTCTTCGTAGCAAATCGAACAACCTGGGTATGGTCAGAAGAGCTGCAATAAACCGCTGTTCAAGACTTACTGCGTTCTTCTTGCGTCAGAGCATCAACATTCATTTTCTGGAGTGAAGACAAAAACTTTTTGGACGGCGTTCCTTTGCCATCAACCCCCAGATCAAGAGCACGACTCAAGCTAACGCCACGACTGCGTAAAACAGAAGCAAAGGTGGTGTTGTCTAACAACTGCATTTGAGCAGTTGCGAATCCTCCCATGACATCATCATCTTCGTCGCTTTCTCCCCATTCTTCTTCGTCTGTATCCGAATCTCTACCGGGACGACTAACACGGCCCAACGCTGCTCTACGTTGAACATCAGCCAAACGACGTCCCGATCTAGCACTTGATCGATCCCATTCAGAGCTGCCGGTAGAAGTAGGAACGTGTGAAGACGCAGGCCCAACTATATAAAAAAACTTCGTTAGTGGACGGTTGTCTTTCTCTTTTATGTTGGTATCAAAGCAGAAAAATGTAAACATGAAGAGAGAATGTCAGGAGTTATTTGAAAGGAGATTGAATAGGGTTCACTGGCTGCTCCAATATAGAAGTGAGTGTACTCACAGGCTTCCGAATTAGTACCTTGGGGGCATATCGATGTCGTAACTCACGTTCCCGCTCCCGCCTTCGTTGTTGGACTGTTTTAAGGTTGTCAGCTTCTCAGTGATCTTACAACTCTCCAAGAAGCTTTGATTCCACGTTGACAGAAAAAAAGATCTCTCAATAGAGAAATGGGGTAGTTGAAGTTGGGGATTACCTTGTTCCAGTGAAGCGCCTGGAACGCCATCGTTCCCCAATCTTTGGGGGTATTATTGTTGTCCGCTATAGAATTTTCATTGGCGAACATTGGCATAGCTCGAGAATTATGAGGCCAAGGTCCCGTCCAAGAGTTGTACTCGGGAGGGCCTGACATAGGAGGTAATGTAGGGAAGGATCTGCTAACAGGTGGCTCTGAATTATGATGTTGAAAGTCTGTAAAATCGTGATATGGAATTCCCTGAGCACGCGAATTTTGAGACCAATGGGCGGCATAACTTGGACTGGCATAGTTCGAACTTGCACTACCATACGGGCTTGAGGGATAATTTGAAGTGCCATACATGGTAGAGGCCGTATTGTAGCCTGCCTGGTAGCCTGCCCAAGGATTCATGAGCGGTGGATACCGGGTACTGGGCGGTTGCGTACCATTCCGCGAAGCTTCGTTATTTGGACAGCGAGAGGTATTCGCATTTTGCAGAGGCGGCGCATATGGCATATCAACATCGTCATCCTCCATATTATTATCCATTTATCTTATCGACCCCGCACTGACCTGGGATCGGAATTCGAAGGACAACCTCCAAATCTATGACGACGCTTTGTAGAAGACGGTTGATTAGGTATGGTATATGACTCCGAATATTCTTTTTCGGGTGTCGTAAATATTCCTTAGATATTCATTTGACTTGACAGTATCGTGTTACGTTGTAGTTTCGAAGCAGCACAAACAACACGTTAAAAGCAAGGGTGCAAAGAGTACTGTTGTTGACTGTTGGAAAAGGACTTGCACAATGGAGGGTTAAGAGGTTGATGCTCGGTGGAAGGGCGAAAGGTTCTGAGATGGATTCACTCAGTTAACATTAATTGTAATTGTAAAATATGGTGGAAAGATGAACAATAATATCAAATGAAAGAAGAACTGCAGTGCAAGTAGGAATCAGGCGGGGCTTTTGGGATTGGGGTTTGATGCGGAGCTGACTGAGTCTGGTCGCAACTAACTCGGGTGTTAGTTGTAATTATCTAGCATTGACTTTTTGAAGCCGAGAATTGGAGTTAGTACAAATATGTAGCTGGGAGGGGTGGCCTTGGATTATGTACGATATATGTCTTGCCTTGGCTAATTAATCATTGTCATCAAGATAACTTTCTTTTCAAGGTTCTTAATGCAAGGCAAAGGCAGTTGAAAGGGTAAAGGAGACAATGAGAGTAGGGTTTCTCCAAAATGAACAAGTAACGATTGAACCTTCCCAAGAGGAATAAAGATGCTGTTATGCAGGAGTTATTGTGTGGGACTTGAATGAAAGTCCACGAAACGAAGATTTGCAGATGGATCTGGAAATCGGAATATGAAAGGAGAAAGAATGAACACCTAGGTAGATGAGCTTGCCACTGATCGTTGTATGAAACCTTTATGAACGATGTATATTAGTAGAGTACGTACTATGTAGCATGATAGTATAGGTGTAGGTAGATGGATGGATTTCATTGAATCCTGATAAGGTCGGTAGGTAGACATGAGAGACCTGCTATGCATAAGCTAGAAGCTAGATCCTGGATACTTCACAGATACCTCGCAAACACTTCACGACTCATGGATTTCCAAGTACACAGAAGCATGTCTCACATCTGATCTGAATGTAGGCAAATATCCTTGTCGTCTTTCACGGCCATGGTGTAGTCTTTCACGGCCATGTTTGTTCAAGTAATATTCAAGGTCAAAAATTGGGCGATAGATGATAGATGATAGATAATAGATAATAGATACTACCTAGACACATGTGGAGTGAGAGTAGATATTCAGAACAAGGTATTGCTGATGGATCTACACTAGGAGACTAGCAGACTAGCAGACTAGCAGTCTAGCAGTCTAGCAGTCTAGCAGTCTAGCACTCTCTTCTAGTTGGATACTTGAACACCTAGGTAGCTTTATCGATAACGATAAGTAGACATCAGAGTCAACTGATATATAAATCTCTCTCTTGAAGGTATCTACTTGTGTTCTCTAATTATCACTATGTAACATTATATAGCTACATAACTATCCGTACTTATCGACTCAAACTTCTCATTCAATACCTGCCTCTTTACATATCTATCATCCATCTGTTATCTATTTTCTCCGTCCGGCATCCATCCGACCCTGGAGGATGATCTGGACTAAAATCATTTGTTGATAACAGACCCCACCCCACCACTATCTTGAGCGTGATATTCAATGGGTAGGTGGTAGGTAGGTAGGTATACAGATACTAATAATGAACAATTTGAAAAGAGACTGCGAGTTTTGTGGGAGTGAAGCAAAAGCATAAGCATTTGTTTCCAGTCAAGATCTTACCATTCATTGCTCACTAATGAAAGCTAGATCTTTCCCCCCAGAAAAACTCGGTCAATCCAAATGACAGTACAACAACGTCACTCGCTCACTCACTTGCAGGTGCTCGGTGATCCGAATAATTGCCCAACGTAAATCAAATCACTAGCACTGCAAATCAAGTGGTCTTAGGAACACTCCAAGGCTCAAGAGCTTTCCGGGCTAAAGCCAAGTTTTCGAATTACAAAGACCGTTGATTAACTTGTGGATATCTTCTCATACTCGCCGTTGTCTAGATATCTACTGGGTACCTATGATTGTACTCGAAAGACTAGTAGGTGTATACACTGAAGCACCACAATACTTATTTCTCTGTCCAAGCAGAGCCTCTTTTCAAAATCCCCTCTCATCTATCCGGAAAAAAACTGGTCATATGCGTTCTGACTATCGAGGAACAGGAAGGTTTCTGTTCCCTTTAATCCCTCCGACAAACGCATGCAACGTTCTCTCAAAGCGGAAAACATGAGAGAGAACAGCGGTGAAGTGGTGGAAAGGGCACTATAGCCGTGCCATTTATGTCTGTGAAGGATGGTCACGATATCAAATTTCGTGAGATCATCAAAATCGGCCCTGGCACTTTATCCTCATTATACTTTATCCAATCCACCGCTCATTCTTCTAGTATTGAAGTTGATTTGTCTCCACAAAGTAATCGGGCGATGGTACAACTTTTCAGATACGTAAAGTGACATCGAATACTTTCACCCGCTTTCGCCAAATAATCCCCCAAACAAAACAGTGGTAAACTCTCGTTCCTCTCAGGTCCGAGGTAATAAAGGGAAAGGTCTCACATAACTTCCAAGCTTTATGTCATCCACCTTTTTTTTTCCTTTTTCATACTCGGCTCAAGGTGTCTGGGCGACAGCAGCGCGCACTGCGCCATTTTTTGCACTTGTTCGTTCGGTAAGTATGATCTAAATGATTGCATCTACTTAACAACTGTACGAACAGCAGTCCAAGCTCGCTGTTGCAATCCTTTGGCTTGGTGGGGAACATGGATATTGCATACATGACTATCTACATACATCCACAATTATCAACAACATCCTAAGGAACCTGGACTATCAGAACTCTTGTACTCCTCCACAATCGGATCGTTGCGAAAATATGCATCCTCTCATACAAATTTGGTAAGCCCTCAAACTTCGAGCTTGCTGGTCATCAAGAAGGGATCAACCGATGTATTCAATATTAGCATACGCAAGAGCTCAGGTTCATGTCAATTCCCCTCAATAATAAGTGTTGGGTTTGTATACTAGGTAATATCGCCACCAGTATCAGCACCTAAATGCGAGACGCAAAATGCAACATCCCATTTTGTGAATTCCACCGCCGCACAATGCATATAGCACCTATAAGACTTCCCCATATGTCTGCCAATCAAGTTCGTATACCAGTCCAAGGTTGTTATGTACGAGTACAGTAAGTAGAGCGAGCCTTTTTTCTACCATTCAGCTCCTATCGACAATGGCGTACAAATCAAACAGCAACTGCAACAAATCCGTCGGGCACATTGCATTGCATTATTTCGCTTGCACCCATCATACATGATCCATTTTAAGGTTCAATGATACTCAAGGTCCCCGATATTTGCAAATCTACAGTAGGTACTCACACTATTGAGTGTAGAGCGGTATCCGGCCATCCACATTTCAAGCAACTTCGCCATAACCCCTCTTTCTTGGCTCACATGATTTTGGTCAGAAAATAATCCATGGTTCAACAATAAGGATTCTTACAATACGAATATTACCTACATCATCTTCGCCGACTCCACCGGACGATTACCAATTCACATTTTTCGGAAGGATTTCAGATCCTCGTGATCACAACCGATTCATATGGGTGCCCCTGCCTTGGGCAAATATCTAGAACACACTATCTTTCCTGGCGACGACCATCAGAACTAGTAATTTTCGTCGTTCCACACTACCAATTCTATGATAAGTATTTAGCGAAATGCTAGCCGTACGGGATTCATCAAACAGACAAGGTCCCCTTGAGATACTCTCTATCCATTACAATTAGACGATGTACTTGTCCTGTCCTAGTAAATTGGGATGTTCGATAACCGAGTGGATTAGAACTTCGAGTCACTATCTCTCATCCTCAATTCTCATCTCATATACTTTCTTTGTTCCATTACCTACCTAGGTATCTTTTGTGTTTTATGACTACAGCGATGATGTCTATACTTGTGTAGCTACGTGTTCCCTATCTCTTCGATGCCAATCAGATATGGTCATCTTCTCAAGTTCTGGGGTCGTTACACAGAAATCCAATATACAAACCTTCACCAAAATCTACAATTTATATCTTCAGATCAGCTACTTCCTCCCACATACGAATATAGACTCAGGAATATAAGGACAATTAGTTCACACTACCAGGAGACAAGCTTCACCTTGGGAGAAGGAGTAGTTGGGCACCAAGGCAATCACACTACCAGCGAATCTTCAACTTTTGATCTACGTTGCATTTACACAAGAGTATACAAGTTCTCACAACCACTACTCTGCCACATACGACCATAGACTGAAGAGAATTGGGCATCCCGTCCGCTCTGCCATACACAAGCTTCAGATCGGTGGATTAGTAGTTGGGTGGGTGACCACCAGCGAATCCCCACTGTTGTATGTTTTTAATTTTCCGCTCTTTTGCCATTCAGATCCTCCGAGAGCATTCCCGTTTTGGAGACCTTCTTTTTGTCTTTCTTTCGTTGTTTGAAATGTGTATGTCTGTTTATCCGTTGTTATTCCCCTCCCTCTCTCTCCTTTTATTTTTATTTGCCAAATACATATCAAGAGAGGCGAGATATAGAACAAGCAAATCTCCGAATTTCCCATTACCTACCTACCTCCCTACCTGCATGCTCCCAGCCTGGTACTTTATTCATCTCTGTGTTGGATGAGGATACGTATTGATGATTGTGAAAGTGTATACCTACTCATTCATTCTCTTTACAGCATCTACGAATCTCACTGAGGTCCCTCTACTCTCTATTCGATAAACACGCTTTTGGATACTCGATGATGGTTTTGTATCTACAGATGTGAAGGGATATAGATAGATAGATAGATAGATGTAAATAAAATAAAGTATAGTTTTACATACATTCACATATTCACATACCAGAACTATATCTCCATCCCCAAACCGCACTCTTCCGTTCCTTACATATCTCTCTCTGATGCTAAACTTACAATGCTATCCACACTACACAGTACATCGTACATACACCACACGAAAGTATACATCTAAGCCAGAGAATCCCAGATTGGGGTTTCGATTTTACGTGTGGATTGGATTGTATCGCTTATATCTATCTATCTCTTTTACACACACACACATACACACCTCCCTCTATATTAAGATGAAGATAGACAAACCGGAACACTCATGTCAGAATTTCAATACAGCCATCGAAAGAATAGACACCGACCTACCTACCTACCAACCAACCAAAACACTATCCGAACTCAAATCAACAAGCGGATTCCACTCTCTTCTCTCTTCTTTCTTCTCTACCATCCCTCGCTCTCCTTCCTCTGACTCAAGTCCCTAGACATGTTTTCTCAACATTCATTAGTATAGGCATAAATGTAAGATTACATCAATCACATAAAATGAAAAAATCCACTCAACTCTCTCTCTCACAACACAAAGGACACAAAAATACATCAAAGAAGCATGTACGTATCAATAGTATAAAAAAATTTAGTTTGAAAATTCGACGTCTATACATATCAACAACGTAGCAAACAAACAAGCAAACAAACAAACTAGGTATCCCACCCCTCAAAGATCTAGCGAGACCCATGTTTGCAACCGAAACTCCTGTATTGTAATATGATATGGTATGATATGATATGTTTCCACCCGGAAATATCACTAGCTAGGTATGCATGGCTGAACATTTGCGGAGTATTCGTCCATGATGCGGAATAGATTTGGGGTATTCAGATGCTTTTTTTTTTCTTTTCTTTCGAGAGATATATCATTACGGGTAGGATCGTGTGACGGAAACTACTAGCAATATGACGTGTGTACCAAGGTAAGGAAAGGTTATGGTGGATTTGAACCATTGCGCTATTAACAAGTCTATATGGGCGAAAAGGGAATTTAATGGATACGGTCCAATCTGGCTCTGTTCATAGCGATTTGATCGTCGACACGGTCGCTCTAAGATATAGTTAGCAATCATATTAGACAAATAGAAATGAACAATAACATACCTTGCCAATAATTCTTTCAATGTGTCTGTTCTGGTCATCGACTTCACGACCAGTAGCCTTCGCTAGTAAGTTCAATCTTCCAGCAGCATGACCAAGAGCATCCAAGTTGGAGTCGATCTCATTCTCCATTTCATCATCCTCAGAGTCTGCTTCGAATTGATATTTAGACCTCTCAGCAAGACTGGCCTTGGTTGCTGTTGCTCGGTATCCCACATCTCCTGGCTGAAGATCTCTGAAGTTTGCCTCCATTCTCTGAGAAGATGCGAAAGCTGCATTTCTGGTTTCCTCACGCTGATCACGTTCTGATCTATGTTTGTTGATAATATCATCATCTCGTTGAGCCTTTCTTGACTTTGCTGTGAAAGGGTTGGAAACATGGACGGCGAACATACTCTTGTTAAGAGTCTTCAATTCTTTTGCTTTCTCCTCCGCAATTCGGTTATGATTGGCAGCAAGATCCAAGTTCTTCTCGGTATTGTGGATACGTTCTCCTTGTGCACCTAGACGAGCCAAGGTAGCACGGCCAGTTTCTTCAGCTTGGGCCGCGATTCTCAATGCGTTTCGAGTAGATGAAACATCCTCTTGCTTCATGGCCCTAATTTGAGCCTTTGTCGCTTGAACATCTTCTTCTTCCTCTTCTTCGGCAGTAAGTTGTCTTTCTTCTCCATATGCACCATATCCACCTCCAGTTGATGGGCCAGCATCTGATTGAGCACCATATGGCGGAGGTGGTCGCTCAGAACCAGTAGCTGCCTTTTGTGCATATCTATCCTTTGCGCCACCAAACAATTCATTCTTGTTGTCTTCTGTCGTAGTTGTATCGTTACTGTTGGTTCGTCCTAAACCACCATAACCAGATGGACCATATTTTGATCCTGAGTTGGCGGCAGGACCATCGTATCTGTTTGCGCCATATCCACCACCATTTCCGAATTTCTCAGACCCATATCCACCACCATTTGGAGCTGGAGCTCGAGGACTAGGGCCACCCATTCCACCCCGAGGACCACCTGGCAAACCACCATTAGGGGCACCTGCAGCCCCTGGAGCAGTGTATTGTTGTCTGGCTGATTGGTATGGAGATTGAGTGGGTTGAGAGGGCATGTTCGCAAACTTGTTGTTATCTTGTGCGTAAGGGTCGGCTTGAGGTTGTGGGGTGGCGTAAGGGTTCGCTGCCGGAGCAGGAGAGGCGTTCTTGTCTTTTCGTGAAAATAGACCCATTGTGAGGATTCAAATGAGATGACAATTATTTGATGGTAAGGTAGATGTAACAGGAAAGTAGATAGGGAACGATGAGAATTGGAAGATGAAGTCTATTGTATTTGGCAAACAAAAAGAAAGGAGTTGAAATATTTAATTAAACTGGATCTGTGTTTATTCTTAAATGTTTGTGAAGTTGTAACAAAGGGTTGTCTTGAGAATATGGGTCGAAGATGCAAAAGAGTTTCAGGGTGTTAATCCGTGAACACGATGCCTGAAGATTGGTGGGGCTTAGCCTATGTGGAACCTCCGAGCCCCATTAGCCACACAATTAAGGTAATGAACCTGGTAAGTACAGTTTGCTAACCCAACCTTAGCTATAATTAAGATCTATAACAAGTGAGGATGATTGGAATGATGTGAGAGCCAATAATTGGATGTGAAACTAAATGGATTTCCCCCAGGCCAAAAACCAAAAACCAATGACCAAACGGTGTGTGACTGATAGATTATGACTGTTATCTGATAATACCTAGGTACAATTATTTAATATTCGGATTCCCTTCCTCTACCCTACATTATCCTACGTTGACACAAACAATTTACTATACCACACAAAGAGAAGTTACATCAAGATGACTTCTAACCCATCCGCATAACTGTTCTTTCAGTTCGAGACCTTTTTCCAACCAACTTTTATTTAATCCCTAGTTCCTGGAGCTATCCAGCAAACCAGCTATCTATTCACACAAACATCAAAATGGTTTTACGATTATTACGCCCTTTTCGAATACACAAACACCACATAACTATACAGTCTTCCTTGGCTATTGGGAAAATATCAATACGGCGACGGCAGTCTTTGCAGAAGCTACGGACTATTGAGTGAGAATTGGACAACTCGGAGTGGTGGCAATAATTCCTTTAACATTGACATTTGGATATTGAGCGGAGTGCTAGACAATCGAGCAGTGGCAACGACCAGAATTGATATCAGAAAATGGCATCCATTTTTACATATGAACCCGAACCCCCAAGGGTAGAATCACCATGGTTGTTGACTCCTACCAATTCTCCTAAACCACCTTCACCTCAGCCATATCCGAAATCTCTCGATAGCTCCCCTGGTTCGACTCACATTTCGGACTATGGAGTCACAAAACTGGAGGCAGAACCACAGGAAGGTCCCACAGAATACAAACTACATCTTTTGTTACGACCGAGGAGGACATATAGCACTTCAAGCACTGGCTCGATAATATCTGGCTCTCAACAGCACAAACAGCAACCCCTTAATCAGGAGAAAGCGAGCCCCATATTGGCACCATCCAATCAGAGTAAACAGAAACGTTTAGAGCAGCTCACAACTCAATTGCTGTGGCGCCTACAGCAGTCGTCTCCGTATCATGCATCATCTACAAGTGATCTTGTATTACCGAAGTGAGTGCATTACCCCATAGCGGTGATTGTGTGTTAGGCCGATGTGGCCCAATCTCAGATTAAAATAATCAAATTTGAGACATCCAATGAAATATATCTAATTGTGAAGTTGCGCTGATTTTGATATCCAACAGATTGCCTGGCAGCGCAACGAGCTTAGATGCCCCTTCAAGACCCGGGAAGCTGTTAGCTGGGCTTGAGGAAAGCCGTGGAGCACTGTATGAAATAGGTGTTTCCGATGATGGTACATTTGTCGGTCTGACGAGCGATGAATTAGACGAGAGTTTGACAAACCTACGGGCTATGGCAGCTAGTCTTGGATGTAATGTTGAGATTGTTCGAAAGGTAGTTGTTGGGGAATGTGAATGGCAAGAGACAGATGAGCCCCAAAGTCTCAAATTTCGCAGCGACTCAAGAAACAAAAACCATGGTTGGTCCCTGGAGACCAAGCGATATCAACAAATTTCCGGCACCGAGAGAAATTGTGGGTCGCTGAAGCCCTCATAACTCCAGATCTCAGTTCGAAACGAGCACAGTCAATAAGCTATGACGAAGCTCCTGTCATTCGTCAACATACTCCACAGCCTACGATTAATGAGGTTACTGAAGCCCCCGCTCTTCAACATGAGGATACAACTGAACAGCTGCGTATTACCCTTACTGGTCCCACTACATCTGGAAAATCAAGTCTTCTAGGTACTTTGTCTACCACAACGCTTGATAATGGTAGAGGTAAAAGCAGACTCAGTCTATTGAAACATCGTCACGAAATTGCTACAGGGATTACAAGTTCTGTGGCACAGGAGTTGATTGGTTATAAAGACTCACAGGTCATCAATTATGCTTCTGGCAATGTAACGTCATGGACAGATATACATGCCACAGCAGAAGATGGCCGGCTTCTATTTGTTTCTGACTCTGCTGGTCATCCAAGGTATCGCAGGACAACAGTTCGAGGCTTGGTTGGTTGGGCTCCCCATTGGACTGTTCTATGTGTCGCAGCAGATGACACTGGTTCGAGCGGTACCAGAAGTACTTCAACAACAGAGCTTCTTGGCACTGTTGGAGCAGGAACTGATCTTGCAAAAGCACATCTTGAACTTTGTTTGAAACTGGATAAACCTTTGGCTATTGTGATCACCAAGCTTGATCTGGCTTCAAGACCTCGTCTAAGCGAGACACTGTCGAAACTTCTATCTGCTATCAAAGCAACAGGGAGGACTCCTTCGATTCTTCCGCCAGATAATTCTAAAAATGTCATTGATGCTGATCTAACTAGTATACTACCTGAAGATACTAACACTGTTAGAAAAGTCATCAACACGATGGCAATGTCAGATCTCAGGTCCATTGTTCCTATCATTCTTACAAGTGCGGTCAAGGGAACCGGTATTCGTCAGCTCCATGCTCTTCTCCAAGCTTTGCCAATACCTACACCACCCACCCCGCACGATTATATTGGTATGGCACTCAATCCAGAGCAACCCTCATCTCTATTCCACATTGAAGATGTATTTGGGGTACCAGCTTCCTATGATGCTTTGGTCTGTAATAGTAATGGTATTGATGCGGGAACTGTAGTTGCCGGTCATCTTAGATTTGGTAGGCTATCAATTGGAGATAGTGTTGTCGTAGGCCCTTTCCCAGCAGATTCTGACGATGATGACTCCCCCCAGACTGGTCCCCGTTCTTCGCCCACCAGTCTAGGTACCTCACTCACGCATCCCTCAGCAACCGAACTTTCTAGGATAGCTTTACGAAACACGCCATCTGCCTCGGTTACCAAAGGCGAATGGCACAATGCACATATAGTCAGTATTCGCAATCTTCGCCTTCCAGTGCACACAATCGAAGCTGGTCAAGTCGGAACCATCGGCATCGTTCTCGACTTACCGACTCAAGAAGACTCAAATAGTCCTATGGAACGTTCTTCTCAAACTGCTCCTCGAATCCGCAAAGGGATGGTCATGGCGATACCCAGTAAACATATGATTCAAACTCATCACTCTCTTCAAGCTGCTAGTGGCTTCACTGCCTCCTTTGATGATGGTGACATTAATTCCATCACTCCAGGTACAGTTGTGGTAATATACATAGCCAGTGTCCGCGCCTCAGCTCGGGTCCTCAAATTAACCCCACATCTTCCTGCCAGAGACATGGGAGCAGAAGACGCAGATGACGTTTTTGGGCTGGGACTACTGGATGGCTGTGATGTAGCTGATTCCAACGGGAATTCAAAAGATGAGCCATTTGTTTTTGGCACTGATGGCATTACAGATGTCAGTTTTGAATTGTTGACATCTAGGGAATGGATAGAGTTGGGTAGTCAGGTTCTGGTCATGCCAGGGGGTGGTCATGGACTGTATTCCGGAAGCGAGAGGGGAGAGAAGGGAGTTGCTGGGTTGGAAGGCTTTGTAGGGAGAGTTGGGGAGGTTGTTGATTGATGTGCCTCTTGGGTTGATGAGTTTTGATTATTGGTTTGGCTATGTACCGGCAAAGGTACGGGGTGTTGCATGGGATACTATTATTTGTATGTTGTTTAAGAGTACGTACCTTGTGCACCACACTAGAAGGAGTAATTTCGGAGAGTAACCTTTGTCATCGACTAAAGGAATGCAAGATAGTTCTTACAAGAGTCCATCTTTTGTTCTCAATTGTTGATTATCCTTTCCTCTCTGTTTTACACTTTTTCTCGTCCCCTTCAACCTTGTCTCATCCCCCAAACACAAACTTTCCAATTCATTTACATGCCATGAGTTCAAAAATTCATCTGGATACTGTAATGAAGTGAGCCGGAAAAAAACTGCTGATCAATGGAAGCACCAGCAGTAAAGCGTACTCCCGTCCATTCTGCTGCAACACGAGGCCACGGACAAACACGCACAACACAAACTTCTTCATCTTACATTTAAATCATGAATTGATCACATAAATTCCTGCATATAAACTGTGGTGTGGTCCTTTCTTTTGATTTTTCTATTAAAAAAAGCCGGGAATATCCTCCCATTTGCGAAACACAGTCTACATCCCAATTGAATTATTGGTGTCATCATGGCAGACGGAATTGAGGGTTCGGGGGCGTCTGGCCCTCCTGAATACCAGGTATTCGATCCACGCAGTGCTTTCACGTTGTTCTCTCCCCCGGAAACCGACGAGCCCACTGGCTCCCTCGAGCGTAACCTTGAATCGGACCCTATTCCTATCATCAGAAGATTCTACCCTCCCCTGCCCACTGACACCCCTAGTATGCTTTTCAACTCCGCTCACCGTTTCATCCGCCGCACTAATCCCCACGAAATACTAATTTACGCCGATGGTTCCTGTCTATCCAATGGTCTCGCCGGATCCCGCGCCGGTTGTGGCTTCGTTATCTCCCCTCACCATAAGCTTGGTTTCAGACTCGAAAATTATGGGCCAACCGGGGAACTCTACCCCCAAACCAGCAATCGCGCCGAACTGCGTGCCGTGGTTGCTGCCCTCGAATATCGCATCTGGCAAGGCGATAGCTTTGGGGCCTGGACCCGTCTCATCATCGCTACCGACTCTGAATATGTGGTTCTTGGCGCCACTGAGCGAATCAATCTTTGGATTCAGCGGGGCTGGCGTACCAGCACGGGAAGTGCGGTCATGAATCAGGATTTGTGGAAGCGACTGATATATCATATCAAGAAAGCGGCTCGGCCTGTGAGGTTTTCGGGTCCTCCTCACGGGACTGCGGTGGCATTTTGGAAAATTCCGAGGGAGTGGAATGGGGAGGCGGACGCCGAGGCGAGGAGAGGAGCTCAGTTGGAGCAGAGGCAGGAATTTCAGGTGATGAGTGGGATGATGGTTTGATCTTTTGCGGCAGAGAACTAGACCCTGCATTTTGGCGGTGTAATGAATACCATTTAACTAATTAATTTTTCACAAATCAACATCTAAGTATAAAGATGTATTATAAGAAACGCTCGTCACATGCTGCTATGATGTTTCTATATGCCGGCTAGTAACTATCTCACAAGACGCTCTAGAAATCGGGTTTAGATTTGGATCGGGTAAGAGATTGATTGCTGTATATTCCGTGACATGATTCGAAAATTTCAAAAGTCCTCCAGTTTATAAACCTCATAGCTCACTTCTTCGTACGGGTGTGTCCTGTTCTCTAGAATTAGCCTTATCTTCTGCTAAAACTCTCGCCATTCCCTTCTTCGCTTCTCCTTAAATTCCACGTCTTCTTCTAATGAACAACTAAACATGAAACTCACCTCTTCAATGCCTCAACTGCCTTCCTTGTAACTTCCTCCCCGGTACACAAAATATGCACTAAAACCTCCTCCGTTCGTTCCAACACTCCTACTTTGCCTGTGTGAGGCACAGCTCCCTTTTCTGCTACTGGTAAAAACTGTCCGAACCCTGGGATTTCAAAACAAACTTTGATGTATTTCCCATCGGCGTACACTCCACCGCCCACAGCAAATATGGCGTCTTTTGTCGCGGAGAGGTGAGATGGGAGGACGCGATAGACAAGCTTGTAGCGTGTTTGAGAGTTCGAGGAGGTGGACATCTTCAATTTTGATTTGGAGAGCTGAGATGAGATAGGATATGATAGAGTGAGATTGATAGGATTTTGGAATAAATGCAACAAAGGAATAGATTTATATTTACCTACATACTTTCTGCAGCGAATTTATCATTTTCTTATCATCAATTCAACTATCACCGAACAATAAACATTTTAACGGCGATTCATGAATATTTCTTCAAATCTATTACACATAATAAATCTATTCTGCGCTATCTCTGACGCACCCCACAAAGTGGTTTATATAGCACGAGTAAAATACCACAGCGTCGGTATCGATGCATCCAAGAAAAAGGAAACTTTCAATTCATTCATTTAATTCGCTCATCTTATCCTCGCCGCTTAAAGCCTGCAATCCTTATCGTACCTCTTACCATTCAACATCTAGTCAATCTTCCCTGAGCCACCTCCTTATCTCTACCTCACACACCTTGCGTCATGCTATAAATTCATTAAACAGCGCTGGATCCTAGACTTCCAAGAATTTGTATTATCAATAAATACTACCCGGTACCTAAACTCCTTACCATATTCCTCGTCCCAAAGTCTGGGCATGGTCTGATGAAGGGATAATGGGTCAAGCATCTTCTACCTCTCCTATCTCTCCTAGAACTACGACGCTTCCTAGAAATTATCGTGGAAGTTCACGTGAGAATGAGAATGAGAGATTTATCAGTACGGAGACGACACAGTTGTTGACACCGGATCCGGAGGAGGATATTGAGGGTGACGCGGATGTGAGGAGTGGAAGTGGAAATAGGAGCATGGTTATAGGGAGACATGATGGCCATGCGTGTTATCATCCTCATGCCATTGGAGATATATGTTATCCCCAAGATGAATTTGGGGATTTGCCGGTTTATAAGACAATTCATCGGTTTGTCTCCCCGTCTATCTAAATCTGCGCTGGAGAATGATACTGATAAAATATTAGGATAAGGAGAGATATTATCTCGGCGATTGGTAAGTTTGATCAAACGGTGAGATAGGGAAGTGAGACTTCGACTAACAGGAAAGACAGATGATCCATATAGCTTGGAACAATTGAGGGATCCGAGGTTGAATGTATCAGTTGTGAGACCATTGGTAGATAAGCTGTATGATTTGGATGATTTGTCAGTTGGTATGTTACTGTTTTGTTATACTTATTCTTATTCTTATTAGATCACTTTGAAGGTTGGGGGAATGAGTGCTAGTACTTTTCCTAGTGATTAGAACAACAACCAGTAGAAGGACATTTGGAAATCTTTGATAAGACGGTAAAATATGGGCGATGTTCTGAGTAGTTCTCAAAGAGCACATTTGTTCATACCATGAGCACTTCATAAAGTCTTTATTCTTTCTTCCAGATTTATTCCTGCCTTCGAATACTAATAATCTCCAAGTCTATTGTCTTCTCGTCAACAAAACACAGTTCCAACGTGAACAATTGGCTCTACCCCATCAACAGAGCATTTGCACCACGCGTGCTCATCTATGCGAAATAGTTGCCAATCGAGTTCTGCGCCGTTTCCACGAAGATCATACTGGCTCAGAAGGGTTGCTTCTTCTGTCTCGCATTCTCGTAGGAGGTTTCGATCCATTTCAAGGTGCTCCAAACAATGTCATCCAAGAAAGCAGCAACTTTGGTTGGGCTGCCAAGTCCCGTACAGGCGCCAATCGAAGATTGCCAGCCTTAGAAATTGCCATTATTTCTCAAAGCAAAGCTTTTCTTAGTTCGTCGGCTTGCCAAAAAGTAATAAGCGCAATATACGAGGGTAGAATCATATACACTCCAACGGCGTTCATGGATATCTTACCTGATCACTACAAGAATAAACCAATTTCGTTGTACAATCCAAGAGAGGCGCCATTGTTCAACCAATATAGACTTATAGTTCCTCGTACGAGGAATTATTTGGAAGTTTGCCACTTTCTGCTGCTGCTGGTTTTCTATTTGTATGTCATGGCAGATCGTGATCCAGCTACATTTGGTGGGATGGAATTGTTATTCATTGTTTATACATCGGGTTGGTCTTTGGATCAATTGTAAGTTTTCTAAAACATTCCAGTGGAATCTGGTAGTCCTTATTAACGCCGATCACAGTTGCTCTATACTTGAACACGGATGGCACGTATACACCCAGAATCTGTGGTCCTTCCTTGATGTTACTTTCGCCGCGATCTTTGGAATTTATCTCGCGCTACGCTTCAAAGGCTGGCACACTGATAACGTTGGCACTGGCCAACAAGCACTAGATGTCCTCGCCTTGGGAGCTCCTGTCCTTGTTCCACGCCTAGCGTTCAATCTTATGTCCGAAAACATGCTTTTCATTTCTCTCCGGGCTATGATGCGCGATTTCACTGTACTCACGATCCTTGCTGTTTGGTGCTTTGCTGGATTCCTGCTCTCTATGATTTGGCTCGGAAATGGAATCCATGAGCCAATAACAGTTTCTAAATGGATGCTCTGGATATGGTTTGGACTCGATGGTACAGGCATCACAACATCTGCTCAATTCCATTGGCTCCTCGGTCCGATCCTCATGGTCACTTTCGCATTCCTAGGCAACACCCTCTTCCTTACCATCCTCGTCTCCATGCTTTCAACAACGTTCTCGACCATTGTCTCAAATGCTACCGCAGAAATCCAATTCCGTCGCGCCGTTCTTACCCTCGAAGGCGTAAAATCAGACTCCCTATTCGCCTATTTTCCACCCTTCAATATCCTTGCCCTCTTCGTCCTCATGCCTCTAAAATTCGTCCTAACACCACGCTGGTTCCACAAGATTAACGTAGCAGCCGTGCGTTTCCTCAATGCTCCCCTACTACTCCTCATCGGCTATCTCGAACGACGTCAATTGTGGGCCGGCCCCCGTCGTCAAAAAGAAGCAGAACAACTAC